TGGACTATTGTAACCTTAACATGTGATCGAAGACGCGACAAAACTAAATGGCCTGTTGCAGCTGTACCCCGCTCTAGTATTAAATGACAGTATATTATGATAACAAGGTGCGAATGTGTGGTTCCTGTGTGGAATTCTAAACTGGGGTAAACGGTATATAGATTCTACTGTTTCAATTGCAACACAGTACTGAGGACCTTCACATTTACAGTCTTTAATTCTGTATAAGTTACAAAATATCTCAACACAATTATATGAATTATACTTAGTTAGAACGCTTTAATAATGTACATCAGTTATGTGAAACTGGATGGTTAATTTTACTTAATTTTCGCGGGTTAATTTGGATATATCAAAATATATATTAGTCGTTGTTACGGACATGACGATACAAAGAACCTTTAACTGCCGTTTTCGGGATACAAAAGGATACAGACCATATAACGGTCACTGTTCCCTTCGCGAAAGTAATAAAATCTTTGAAAGAACAAGCGCGAACATAAGCGTTTCACGAGCATTAAGTTATTTAAAGTACTCGGGCCAAACAAACGTTCCTGTCTGTTCTAATACACTCTCAGGCACCACAAAAAAATCAACTGTCCCACTATTCAGCCAGTGTATTTAGGACATATTGGCGCTCTTTTTCAAACACGTTTCAGCAGTTTAAAGCCGTTTCATAATCGAATCATCTTTGGCTGAGAAAGAAATATATCATTAAAAGACTTGCCTGTGTCCCTATGTATTGCTGTACATACACATGTTACTGCCAAATACTTAACGCCAAAAACTCGTAATACATATACGTACGTGCAGATCACGGTAAGGTTGTGTATCATACATTAGAAATACAAACCAATGTTATAGCTCACTAAGTGATTAGTCTGCTTTAGTGAATTGAATAATTGCATTTTCCAAATAGATTTTCATTTACCAGGATGGTGAACTCTAAACGTGAGTGATTGAGTAGATTTTCATTCACAAAACTTATATCCTTTAGACCACATATAATTCGCACGTAATCCTCGAATTAAATTCTTGAATTGAAAATAACATCGAATTCGGATGAGTAGTTTTACTTCGGAATGTCGTCTATACTAGGAGGTAATGGGGAATTTGAGGGGAAACTGCCAATTCGTATTGATGGCTCCAGACATTTATATATAATATTGTAACGTTCTCAAGATCAAGGAGCGATTTCTCCCAGTTTTAAACGTTTTCAGAACTAGCAATGCTGCTATATCAATATATATTTTTGGCACAAATTGCTTTGCCGGATACCAAACAGACGCATTTGATAGAAAATGTAACTTGGCGGAGAGATGGTCTCTACGTTAAACAAAAATATATTTAAGGGACTTCGGGGCGAATGAGGCCTACTAGATCCCACTGAATATCCCCTACAGAATAGAGTTTTCTGCTGTGTCTCCAGCTGAAGTCAAAACTGGTGTGTCGCACCCATTACAATATTTGGGACCTATTTCTCTTTTCATTTCTCTTCTACACAGTCTCTTCATGTATATGACTTCAGCTATTGCAAAGATGCAAACCCTTGCCCAACATAAACCAAGATACTTAAGGAAATGATTCTAGAATTAAAATATAATTTCGCTGTACGTCGCGAAACGAAATTGAATAAAGTGACTTGACAATAAAAGAAAAACAATCAGATTTACGACCCCATTGGGAGCCTCATAGTCTGTATTGTGCTTCCCCCTTTAGGATCAAAACCATTTAAATTTCGCCACAAGAGAAGATGTTTATTCAAGCTTCTGATACTTATATGACATGTGAGACATAAATCTAGGGGAGATCAAAGGACAAATCGTCATTAAACCGCCATACAAATAACTTTTTATTAAACCTTGTCAACGCTTTCACAATACTATATCAGTATGCTGGTTTTCACTTTCAATGAAAGCTGTTTCTTTCAACTGTAGGCTATATACTACTGTATTGGTGCGTAACAATTGCCATGCAAAATGCCACCTTTACACATTCATGTGCATGATTCTCGCTCTACGAACCTGTTAAAATCTGGTTATACAGGTAGAATACAAATGACGAATCATTCGAGCGGATATTTGCTTGAATGAACTATGAAACAGGGCACATCCAATGTGATATATCTTCGTATTAATATAACTCATTGCATGATATGCATTCCTGATCCGTAAAGGAAATCTAACGTCGTAAAAGCAAAAACGATGTCAACCGTAATAGCTCCAATATTTGTCTGTCAACAACAAAGTCTTATTGCCAATACCTTTCATTTGAAATATTTTTTTGTGTAACAATTTTCACCACAGATTCATTTTCGCGTTAAAAAGAAATGTCGACCTCATATTGGTGTGACATTAGAACTTTTTCTCTCGCTAGACAAGAAGTTTTACCACAGGATTTCATGTACTAGGTTTTGAACATCCAAGACGCTGTGTAAATCATTGATGAATACCAGTTTAGTCATATTATGCAACAGACACGCAAAATGGATAACTCCCTAGAAATACGAAAATAGCCCGTACCGTGTGCGAAATCGAAGCTGCCATGCTCTCTAGTGACACACATCCTAACTCAACAGTCGTGTTATCGTTGATTTATGTTGAATCCCGAAATGTTTCGTGAAAAATGAAATGAACGTTAAGGCGAGTTTACGTCAGCAATTAATCATAAACAACATACAATGCATTCATTTGGTTTTTAAATCAATTTTCAATTTATGTGTCTGTCCCTGGATAAAATGACTTAGCTCGGGTAAGCTTCTGGAAATACTACTGATCGCAGGTAAACAGAATCTCAAGCATGAGGACAATAATTGAATAACATGGCTATATTCCATACTATATTAAAACGGTAAATATCAAAATGGCGTGGCAATGCTGCATGCTAACTGTTATTCGTACAGATGTAATCACTCTGCAAAAAACAATAATGACGAATCGTTAAAACATTATATTTTTTCAGGCACGGAATACACTAAATTATCAAGTACAACATTCTTTCTGGCGTAAAACTTTGATTAAAATTCTAGACTGATAGGGAACTATTTCAAAACCGATGGAAGCTCGTAATTTGGCGATTTATTACTTTACCCTAAAATGAGACCATTTGCTGACAGAACCAATTTGCGTTAGGACGCTCAGGTGATGAGTTGTTATCTCGTCAGGGTTGTGTACCCGAGCGAAATGGGATCTTGTGTAGAATGTATGTACCCTATTTACCCATCCGACTGTGTCACTAAGAAAACATGTAATTAGTTGTCACATTCCGTAAATGTCTCCTAGCTGGCGGTGTATCCTTTATGACAGATATCCCTAAATCTGGACATAATATCACCGACCTTGGGTCTGCCTCTAGCTGAGTTTGTGATTCAGTGTTTGTGTTAGGCTTGGGGCAGCCTAAAAGTGTTGATGGTATTTAGGCCTTGATAAACCAGACTGTCAAACATGTTTACCGCTCTTTTACTTAATATTATTGAGCAAAGTCTATTAACGTTATATACGTAGCTACAGCATTTCGTTGGTTGTTTACAACTACTACTACTACTACTACTACTATAATGACTACTGTTGCTGCTGCTGCTATCGTTGCTACCATCGCCACCACGGCCATCAACCACTACTACCTCTAATAATATTTAATTTATCAAATCAAGCATTACATAAGTGAAAGTATATTTATATAAACTAATAATTTCCTAATCCCATCACCACATCTACAATATACTACAACATTTTTGTACCTCCAATGACCGCGGAGATTTCATCACATGTACCATACTCAAGAATTCAAACCATTATGTCATGCATCATATATAAATAGATGGCGACGTTATTTCAAGCGGACAACTGTCTTCTAAAAGTACAAGCACCAATTCGACCAAGAACGACCAGTAACTCTAGTTATGTAAATTCGGTGTGTGTCAGTCAGCCAGTCGCCAAATCATACACCCGTACAAAGACTAAACAAACACCAATAAAGAATCACAAAGGTCCTCATCACCCCGACAAATCGTGACAAATTGTTGTCAATGGTGGGAGCGAGTGTTTGCGATACGTACGGCGATAAATATACTATTTCACCCCCTGTACATCCATCAACACAGCGCAACAGTCATGTTATAAGGGATTGTGACAAAGTAGTCTTGAAGTACATCTCAACCTTAGCTTTTTTCATTTTTTGACAGATTTAACCTTAAATCAGAGATAAATATGACTTGTTTAAAAAAAAAGGATAATTTAGGAACTGGTCGAATAACAACTTTTTTGTTTTATTTATTTCTATATTTAGAAGCTGATTTTCCTATTCGGTTGTAACATATACTGAATGACAAAAAAACATCACAAGACGGTCTATTTTAGGTGACGACTGTTGTACACGGAGACACTAAAGAAATAATAGCAATACAGAACAAAAAACACCAGATAAATAACCTTATCATTGCAACGAGACAACAGATGACATTGGTTTAAGGTCAATGTTTAATTAGGCTAATTAAGGATATAACGAACAAAATTGATTTAATAGAGCTAGGAAAACATGAAAGCAACCGTCATGAGTTGTGGCATTAAAATTACTTTCCATCACAACTTTTTTATGACATTGTCGTTGGTTTTATTATAACACTTTAAATATTTTCGTTTTGTTTGATTTTGATTATTCTGACAAATATTAGGGCTAGCTACTTGTTACCTTTTAAACGTATATCGTAGTACTAAATCGCAAATGAATCTCCGTCAAGGAGAAGTAAAAAAAGTCACAGAGGGCTGAAAGCCATACTGTCAGGTTCAATAGTTCAGGACTTTAAGAAATTAAAGGTGAGGGAAGGTGTTCTCGACGGGATGATTAACACAAATGTTCAATCCACAATAAAGTACGATATGTAGATATCGTTACATTATTAGCTACAACATAAAATGCTTGAAAGCCGATAACTTAGCTGTAGTGGAAAGGAAATAAATCTTTGATAGTGACTTTAATCATGTGTCTTTTTGTCTTTTCAGCATCCCTGTCCAATGATCAAAGATTCACCTTCGAGAAATCCTTCCAGGAGTTTTACCATGGTAACGGTTATTTGGGAGCCCAGGTGGGGGTATATGTGGACGGCCGGTTACCATTCCTGCGGGGATACGGGCACGACCACACCCTAACAGACATCCGTCCCGAGTCCGTTATGCCCATTGCCGGAGCCTCAAAGGCCTTCACTGCTCTCACAGTCCTAAAAATGGTAGAGGAGGGACAGCTTGATTTGGGAGCTAAGGTGTTCGGGGCCGACGGTATTCTGAGTACGTTCGAACCTTGGAGGGCCGACCACGTGGACCGTCGTATATATGACATCACTGTAGATAATTTACTTCGACATACTGCGGGCTGGGATTCACAGCGGTCTAACATATACGACCCCGTATTAAATATCGCATTATTGGAGAGAGGATATAAGGTGAAAAATATTGCCGACGAAATGGACCTACCGCAACCGATTGAACCGGACGACGTCATAAGATATATGATGTCACGGCGTCTTGATTACACACCTGGAACGGACAGCGTCGTGTCAAATCTGGGGTATATTATCCTCGGTAAAGTGATCACACAAGTCTCCGGTGTGGAGTACTCCTTATATGTGAAGGAACGCATCCTCGAGCCTTGTGGACTGATGCACACGCGCATCGGACGCCCTCGTGTGTACAAGCGCGAACATGGTGACATGGAACCGGTATTCCAGGGATTTGGCGACGTGCTGCCCATATTTGTCGACTCGGCACTGGGCTGGGAGTCTAACGCAGCCGATCTGCTACGTCTGTTCATGTGCATGGATGGCTCGGGTGATTTCCAACTCCTCAACAGGACGTCCGTTGCATCCCTAATAGCCAAGCCTGCTGGCGTGCCGATACAACACCATGACAGGTGGATCGGCGCGGGATTCCACGTGAACCTCCACGGCGCTATTTGGATCAACGGCGAATACTACACGGATGACATCGTGTTTTATCATAAAGGCCCACTACTACGGCCAAACAATGGTTATCATGACATTGATACACGAGGCGAAGCACGAGCCTGGGCAATCATCATGCATGGTCAGACCTTCGTACCTATTCGAAATATTATCAGGAACATGATGGAGGCTAGCGGAACGCACTGGTCGACTGACGACTACTTCACCAATGACATCGTGGATGTATCCGCCCAGTACCAAGGCGTGCAACGTACCGTCAGGTTCAAGGTCAACGAGCATCATCTGACGTCATTCATCAACGCCGCCAAACAGCTCCGCTATGACATCATCTGGCTCAACGGCCTGTCCTACCAGAACCAGACATGGTTCACAGTAATTGCCGAAAAACAAAACCGTTCTATCTACAACGACTTTTTAATCGAGCACGGGCTCACGGAGAAGCAACTGTACCACCGCAAAGTCGAACAGGAAAAACGTGGCTACAATCTCACATTCTTCCAGAACTACCGGAGTCGCTCTCACCGTGACAAAAAGGTGTTCGTTGCTAGCTTCCGGCGCCACGCCTACAACAACCACACCAAGATAAAATACGGTCTGGAGCACTTCACGCAGCCATACGACAAACTGCTGCATCTCTTTGTGGAAAACGGATATTACCCTACCTCCCAGTCACTCATGTATGAAGGATTTGATGGTCTCGTCTCATTCGTCCTTGAGAAGGATCTTGACGCCAAGGGGCAAAAGGACTTCAAATCTTATGACGACATCAGTCTTTACCGCCTGACAAAAATAGTCCAAGGCAATGCACGGTATAGGAGGAAGCTGGCCTACCTTGATGCGTCTGATTATTTCGGAAAGCCAGTGTTTTCCGCAGTGTTCATCCGTGATACTAAAAGGAACATGGTATTTAATGCTGAACTTACGGAAAACAGCATGAGAACAATTATCAAGAGAAATGAGGAGAGTGGCTTTCTGCCCAAGATTATAGCCGGATACACGGACAAAGATAAAAACTTAAAGTACGCAATGTGTCTTGAAAAGTGATCTTACATTGTTGACATGGCAACAACACATATTCTTACGTAAAGAAACGTCATCTTACACGTAAAAGACTGCTTTTCGAGCATCGCCTTGTTGGTCAAACTGTGATCTTGACAACTGTTATGCCGAGCAAAGTTGCGCTATTGTCTGAATTGAGTTATAGCAAACTGTCTATTGACGGTTGGCGGAAAATGTGAAACTGGATTGGTAATTGCATCACAGACAAATCGTGCTAATCTACATTTAGTGCTAATAAACACCGTTATAAGGACTGCATATAGTGCTTATAGACATGGGTATTTACCGTAAAGCTTTTCTTTTCGTTTGGTCCTAGTTTTCACTTCTATTGTGGTCAATATGTTTCCCCGCTAAATCCATCCAGTGGAAGTATCTGTCATCTCTGATACTTAATGTAAAAGCTTCTGTACCATATCACAAGCATGAAACCACGACACATTAATCAAGCGAATTCCGATTTTTGTGTTAAATCAGCAAATATTTAACGTAAAAAATAATAGAAGCTTTACGGTAATGTAAAGCAGTGTAATTCGTCACATTCATAACGTGTCACGTGCTTCATAGTCAGACCTAAACTCATATTAAAGCATTACCATGGCAAGAGTGTAGCAATAGAACAGGTAATCCAGTGACCAATGCAATGTTAACCCTGTAATTGTAAATAATACGCCAGTTCTGTGTAGTATGACTTTGTATACCATGATTCTAATTAACCTCCATTATACAGTAAAAACCTCGTTATACTGCCATAATTTGTCTAGCGATGCTTTGGCATTATAATTTATCGAAGGATATATTAATTTATTGGAAACATATGGAACTTCAGAGAAAAGAGTAAAATGGGAACATTGCGACTCGTTTGTTAGTGGCAACCGAAGTGAATAGTAGCTAACGAGTGGCGTTATAACGAGGTTCACCTTTCGTGTCTCACGTGACACATACGTCTCACAGAGGCCAAAGGTTAAGCTGCTTTTATACATGAAATACTGCTGGCCAAAATGTAGGAAAAATAGAATTGGAGACTCCGGTTTGTGAAAGTTATACAGACGATGGTTATATAAAGACGAATACCGACATATGCAGTGCTGCTGATGCATGTTGCTTCTTTCATGAAACAGTTCACCCATCATTCTTTACATCACAAATACGCCAGTATCATATGTAGAGTGGAGCATCGCAAATCTGGAAATGTTTTGTCGGATTTCATTTCAACAAATTTTATTTGTTGGATAACAGACAAAGCCTATGTGTTTATTCTACCCTGTTAGGAGTATGATTATTTGAAGTTAACATCACAATTTCAATAATCCGAGGACATTGTTATTCTGGAGATATTTTCGGGAGAAGAGGTGTCCAGAATATCAACGTTCCATTGTAGTGACTCTTTCTCGTCATGCGAGTAGTCTCACACATGTTAATATGCATAATAATAGGTGCCAGTATGTATAACTCTTTGTCAAAATCAACGTCGTTATCATGGTAACATTCTTGTTTTAATATATATTTGTGTTTACGTTCATACATTTTGCCAGTGGGTATGTCTTCATCTGTTTTGTGTCTTAATGATTATGTTTGTAAATAAAAGTATATATTTATCTTTATTGATATGTGTACTCCTGGCTAGCAAACGACTACATTTATGTTCTACCTAACACATCCGTTAAGACCACAGGTGCTTGAATCGATTGGTGCTTCTCCTCCGAAAAATCGGACTTGAACAAGGCTACTACTATACTTATGTAGCAGTTACCTTGCTCACGTCCAAACTTTGTTAGCAGTATTGACCAAACGATACAAGCTCTTTGCTCCATTAGTTTGTATTTTGGACAGGTATTAACGAATGTTTAAGAAGTAGAATATTTCTGACGTTGGGGAGCTGAATGCCACGAGAAGATCGGGGACGAAAACTTACAGTTTTATATTGGTGTAAATATGATATGTAGTTGTTTTGTATACAGCAAAGCGTTTATAGTCGATATGTAATAATATGGAATAACTGGTGTTTCGATTGTTTAACACTTACATACATATATTATTTTCCATGTAAAGTTTCTAAACACCGCAAAGCTTCGCTATACTGCCTGCCACCTTATTTGCAAGTTTATGACATTATAAATGCATTTGTCGGTGTATCGAGGAAGACATATGTACATGAATTGTTATGGGGGAAAGTAATTAATAAATAAAAAGGGAACATTGAAATACAATGTATGTTTATGCTAAGCAAACAGTTGGAAAATGAAACAAGAGGCATTATATCGAGGTTTTGCTATACTGTTAGTTTCACGTAGCATTACTCTTGCAGTTATTAGGTTTTAGTATTAACCGTGAAATAGATCATTATACCTAAATACATATGAAGTACACGAATTTCGTATCATAAAGAATAGTTGCCCATATCAATGATTAAACTCAATTTACATGATTACAAGCATCAGAACAAGGAGACAAATTATTTGGAATAATGTAGACCGTGTTTCCTTGGACTATTTTTCTCGGACGGTGACAATGTTAATAGAGCGAAGGGGCCTAAAGACTCGGGTAACATCACGTATTTTCAACATTATCATCAATTATCGATGCCTCGGAAAATGATATGGTATATATTTACAGCTTTGTTTGATTTGATTTCATTCATTTTTAGCTTCGAATTCCGGAATAATGGATTAGCAACCGAGACTTACTACTCATTCTACTTGACCCTTCATGTATATGACGAGCTAGCAGTCTTCTAAATAGATAGTAATATGTGCTAGATTTCATTGTAAATGTTGACTTTATATCTGTTAATAAAAAAGTGCCATTTAAAAAAAGGGTTGTTTCGTCCTTTTTATCATTAGAACGCTAATGATGATACTAGTATATGAAACAAATCATAGATCTTGAGAATGATCTACACTTTAATACCAACGTTACATTTTACTGTCTGCCTGTCACTGTTAACGTAAGAAATGCAGCCTCTATACAATGTTTTTGCTAAAATAAAACGTTTTGCCTACCTACATTTGTAAACACAAAGCAACACATATTTTGTTTTCCACAAGCATTTTGGAATTTATATATGTGCTATCTGCATAGTTAACGATCACACCAAAATTAGTTGCTACCTACATACATACACGACCAGGTATCCTTCTTACAAGCTCCGTTTGCAAAAGGTCATATTTATTTTCGAACTTCATTTTGTTTTCACTCGTTTTGGAAAAATACGCTTTGTATCACGAAAAACGTTTGATTCCTAAAACAGATATGTTACCCCATAAAATATGTATTTTAGTCACGGAGGCCCGATACACAACTGGCAAACAGACAATCTAATGAAACGGGAGCGATGCAAAGATATAATCTTAATAAGATTTGGCTGTAGACTGAAACCATGAAAAAGACTCCCTCTTATCTTCGCCCACCTCGCTCACCGCAACAAAAATTCAAATCGGATTTCCACCTTTTTTGTTAATTATTTCTTTACGTGTCTCCAACAGCACATCTCTGTTCATCACAAATTGGTTCTTAAAATCAAACAGACCTCTATGACTACGTCATTCAGAATCAGTAGGGAATACATCTTCACCAGTAACAGGATCACAGACTCCAGTGTCTCCTGCACAAAATTAAAAGTACTCCCTAAGATTAAACATGGAAAGGCGATGACACTTTAAGAAGTTTCCGTTTGGAGTAATTACTTCAGAACAGACATTGACGCCATTGTTACGTAACGGCGAAACCCGACACATGCAATATGCAGGAGTTAATTACGGCCAGACTGCACTAATCGACACATTCCAAGCATGGGGTGTTAAAATTAAGGACTCACACAAATATCTACATTTTGCAACTCCCCGAATTGGGAGGAAGCGGTAGTTCAAATTGTAACCTCCTGCCGTCCCGCTCATAAAACCTGGATTGCAAACAATTTCGGCAGGCGTATTGATCCAATGTTACAAGCTGCTTTCATTAGGTACCCATTTAACTATTTATAAGAATGGTAGATGTTACTGTATATTTGGAGAAGTAACGAAAACCAGACTAGATTTTTAACAAATAACAAATTAGTATAAACAAGTTAAGTACAGTACACATGTAGAAAGCATTCAGGGGGGATAAGAGATGTCAGGGAGGTCGACTATGGACAATTTCTTCACAAACTTGACATATTCTATCATACGGTAGCATTGTATATCAGCATTCTGTCTGTTTTCCATGTGTTCACACAAAATATATTCAGCACGTTTACAGTCCAAAGCTACCACTACCTGTACTGTACATTGTATGGTAAACTGCGATTGCATCTCAAAGTGCGATCTTCATAGTTTCAAAGAAAACGTTAAAATGTTGTTATTTCTTTAAACAGAACATCATGCCGTCTGCATTGCTGAAGTGTAAACTGTTTATGATGATTCCCGGAAAATATTCATCCGTTTAACAAGTGAGATATGAAACACATTTCAGTATCTACATTGCTAAAGAATTTTGGCATACATTATAACAACTTATGAAGCCATATCCTATCAACATTTCAATAACAACTGGTTTTGTAGGCAAACAATCACAGAAAATTAAGAAGGATATTAATGAAGCCAAAATGAACATTTGACATGGTCTTAACAGCCCGTCATACAGGTACGCCACAAAGAAAAAAAATGGAAATACAGTTGCAGGAAAAGTAAGAAACTGCTAATTAATCTGGACCTGTAAGTTATAAGGCAATTCCCAAAATCATGCGTTCTGGGTATCTTATAAAGTGATTATAAAATGAAGTTTATTCAGCAAGAATATGATTTGTATTCCCTGCCATTGTTTAAGCAAGAAATTTAGAAGCTAGTGAAAAACGGGTAAACTAAAATTAGCGTATTTGTTCATGGATGAAAGACTTTTATGCGACAAAATTTCAATAATTCGAAAGTTAGGAATGGTTTTAAATATGAGGCGAAAATCGTCAATTCCATGAAATCTTTTTTGTTTTTGTTTTTAATTGTTATAAGTTACCTAAATTAGTAATACTCCTGTTTTCACTATTATCGTGTTATTGTTGATGTATATTGTTTGTGTTGGGAGAAGGCGTTGATATTTTGCTGTAACTTATGCCTCGTTTGGCAATACATATGTTTAATCTAGACAATATTCTGCGATGGTATAATACATATAAAGATATGAAATATTACGTAAAGTTAAACATTATTTACGTTATGTCTACAAGTTGTTTCCGGGAATAAATAGGGTCAGTGTCTGCCTTAAAAACTCCGTATGCAAAAAAACGGTGGCGGATCTCGAATGCTTCAAGGAGGGTCCAAATTTCTTAAGAGTGCAGGTAACTTGCGAAATGTCGCACAACATAAAAAAAACCGACCATGCAAATGGAAGAATGGTGGGCCGGTCCCATCTCTAAATCTGCCACCTATACATTTAAAAACGAATAAAAACTGTTAAATAGAAATGTCTGACCTTTACAATGAATAAAAACAACCGTAACAAATGTCCATGAGTTAAAGAAGTTGGTGGATAAGTGTTGCAGCGTTTCACACGCACATTACAGAGGTCGATATCAATCATCCTCGAACTTCCGAACAAAATCTGAAACACAGTATACTGTATCGATACTGGGTAGATGATAGATACGAGTAACGTGAGGAATAGTCGGTACACAACGTTAAAGTCTGAAACAAGGTGTTAATCGATCGCCATTTATCTTGTTATCTATAGCAGGAGCAAATGACAGGTGTACAACTCGGGTAACACTACCGCCTTAATTAAAACCAGCGTGTTCCTAGCCCGGGCCTGTACGTATTTATACCCGTAATCTCCCCATCTGGTCCACTACCTAATACTGGGTCTTTATATATAGTCATCCGATACAATGACAAATGTCGAAACCAGAGCATGTAAATGTAGAACCGGTAGTTTTTAGATTTTGACAGAACTATGTTTTAGTTTATTTGGGGTATTAATAACAAAAGAATTTGTGTAATCTATTATGTTTGATGATGATAAAATAAGAGCAATATTGGTTTACAAATGAATACAGTACCTTGTGTAGTAGACATTCATCTTTTTTTTAAAAAGAATTCCAAGATAATGAAAATTTCAAAATTAAATTTATTTAAATTCAATACCCTGTCATAGGTATTGGTTGCGTTCCGCTATCACGTTTAAACTAAAATGAGCAGCAACGTTTCGTTTGAAATTCATTGTTAACGAAAATTATCACATTTCGAATAGCACTGCCTTTATTTGAATACCGTCACAAAAATTGACATCATTCCATATCTACTTTCTCAAATCTAAAATATCACAAAATGTCATATCTGTCAGATGCCAGTAAAGGTGTACAGTTGCTGATACAGATATTCACCATCAACAGTAGGGTATGTGTTTACTACAAAGTTAGCCAAGAAAAAGTGTCAAATGAAATGTCAAACTTCTGTGGGAAAATACAGTTTGTATATATAATACCAACATTGTGAAGAACTTGTGTTGAACAGTACACAAATACCCCAGTTTTGATCAGGTTTCGGGTTTACATATTATGTGGATTTTACCAAGGTATACCATTGCGTGCAATACACATTAATGTAAAAAAAATGCAGGCTTCTGTTTTGCCTTGTCATACATATACGCTTACATAGTTATTTAATTAATGTGTTGTCGTTATTTCATTTTTTTAAAAATTACAATGTTGTACTGAAATTCCATATTTTACTTTGAATTCTTTACGAAGACAAGCTAAACAAATCACTCGTTTTACATCTTACAAAAGTAAGGAGATCAAAACTTATGCTGATGAAAATGACTAGCATACATTTCAGGGTCAATCTAGGTGAAATATGATCCATTTGATCACTCCAGTAAAAAGGGTTTATTCACCATGTGGATATCCGACACTCATAATCTTTCATGATTTTTATCAGGGCCCATATTTATGGAACCGTTTTCATGCTCTAACTCAGATTATGTGCTCAAGCACAATTCCTTATTCTGTTGATAAATTACAAGACATCTTATTTATGGACATAGGCCCGAAACATATACTTACATACTGTATAATCTAAAATAAAAACATTTAATTCCATATGTCGGTCATAACAAAGGGACGTTATGACGAAGTATATTAACACGAAAATATGTCAACGTTGTGAATACATTTTAAAATAAAGTCCGTCTAAAATCATCCTATCTATAAATATGTATAATACTACGATCGGTCAGCCTAATATTTTCATTTGTGCCCACACCCTGGAGCCGCACGTATGGCAGTATCAAGCTTGTTCGAGTTATCTTTCTTAGTCTTAAAATTTCTATAACCTTCAGCGAATAAAATCTACAGAGTACATGGGGGCATATTCACATTAATGCAATTAAAAGCTCACTGCCATATGTGTGTAGCAAGAGACCAAATCTATAAGTATATATGTAGTGTAAACATATTGATATACAGTACTAGTGTGGCATGAAATTCAGGTTATAATCACTTGTGATCAGGAAACGCAATGGGAAATAATAAATCAGAGCACAAGACACAAAATAGATAGGGATACGCAGTAATGCATATTTATGTACGCAATACGATTGAAATTGGTTTTTAACGATTAAACAGTTTCAGTAATTTCTTTAAGTTGTAAATGCAATGATTTGTTTGTTTAGCAATGGTACGTAGTACCAGCTAGTATTACAGATAGTAAAGGAAATCCTTTCTTTTTGGAATTAACCTCGATATGCATATTTTTTACACATAAACGTTATCACGTGGATATAAATACTGGTATATACGTCATATGCAAGTAGCATCAATATATGAAGTACACCATATACACGTGTAGAATAGTTTAACTCGGATTACTATTTGAAGGCATATAATTCCCGTACCATACAGTACAAGTTTTAAATTGTAAATGATTAAAATATTATAAAATAACTGGAAACATATACAAAGAATTAAGCATTTATACACGTAGAATGTAAATGTGTTTGTCATTAAACGAACTGTTGAACTGTTCATGTGCAAAGTGCAAGCACATAATATTACATCCTGTGTAGATACTGTGCTCAGTAACACAATCGCTTTGAATAAACACATATGATATAATTCAATATAAAATAAATACAAGTCATTTGAATATACAGCGTTATAATTACGGTTAAATAAGGAAAAAGAAATAATTCCACTTACCTGAATCTGTCAAACACGTGTGCCGGAAGTTTTGAATGGGTTAGTAAATTTTGAACCGTAATACGGACCACTTTTCCGGCTACATTGGGACATTCGGAGTGGCCTCCCCTATGCTACATTCGCGTATATTGGTTTTTTCCACGATAAACGAACGCACTTGGACCGTTCTATAAGCAAAGCTAAAAATGCACAGTTTCGGAGAATTAAAAACAATATATCAAGAATAATATGCCCTTCTTCCATCCGTCCAATAAATTACATAACGTATCTTAAAAACTACACGTGAATTGACATTGTTTAAGAAAGAAATAACGCAAATTGACAATAGTCAGCATTTTAGTTTCGTTCAGGTACGTCTGGACACGTACCAAATTTTCCTGAGGTCAGCCTCGGTCCAAATCTGTACCTGTCGTTTTCTTTACAGGTTGAACCGGTTCAACCGTTTCAACCGGATACGCGAATGTAGCCCCAGTCTCGGCCTATAAACTTGAGCATTTTAGGCCTAGTCAGATTGCAAATTGACGCTTACAAGTCTTGATATGATTGAAGAGTGCATTGTCACAAATTCCCTGGCCTTTGAGACTTGTCAAGATGTATTTTCACATAAAAAATACATGTATATAGTTAGCCTTCATCATCGCGCTATAGGTATAAATGAATTATGAATGATACATGTTAATTATTTGCTAATGGATGGAGGCATTTCGTCCTATAGATGTACAAGGGTATATCATATTAAATGTTGAACTTTTAAATATAACATTGTAGAAAGTGCGATACATACTTGAATGTGAATAACATCAGTAAAATGTACAATACTTATACATTGTGTAAGAAATACTTTCATCAATAAATTCCAACGGACTACCATTCGATAATACTGTAATGTGGATTCTATTGAAAAAGGTCATCGCTCTCGGATGAAGAAAACAGAATTTTATATTTGCACTTTATCGGCGCCCTGATATGATCGATTACTTCCCGAACATATGAAAACAGCATCGATAAATCCCCTCCCCCTATCCCAGTGTTTATGACACTAAACTATGTTTACACTAAATACATTATAACTTAACCTTTGAGTTCAATACAAGTTTTTTTTTATAATTGTTAACCATACAATAGTAGTTTAGGAAGTGATAATATGCAAAACAACCCAATGCGATGACCTCCATTTGTGGCCTTGATCCTATGTTTTATACTACGCTACAAACCAATCAAGTGTCTGTAATTGGATAATAAAATATAAATACCAACTCAGAACAAAAGTTACTCTATGCAATTACACAGGATCAAACAGAATAAAGAGTTCCATTAACATTTATCGGTTTTAACATACATTGTATTATATTGTCTTTGAAAAATGACTTCCCGCTCTTTTTCTACGTTTTTTTTTTTACTACTGGAAAGACACATTTTGGCATATATTTCGATGAAAAACTGTTATAAACTTTTATTTTGTAATTATCACAAATTGAAATGAAAGAAAAACGTTACAAGGAAAAAGAAAGTTTTGAAACTAGTGTGAGCTCACAGTTCAAGCTCGTATTTTAGTCGAAAGAATGCAATCTATCGCGTTTTCTTCGCAGTCGATTAAACAAAATACTGGAAACATATATTCATTTACCTGTATTTTTACCTTTAAATATTTCCTTGTTGCAGAAGTGAAAATAAACGCCCTTTTAACTTTCAACACGGAACCGTTTGGTGTTCACGTACAGAAAACGCATCAACTGTTTGAAAGGGAAATTTGAGTAATATTTTCCCTTTAAAAGTAATCTCCAGAATATATCTACACATTTCATAATAACAATATAATCATAATAAATAATAATTCTCAGAGATAATGGAAATCACTGGAAACGTCAAGATATCTTTAGTGTTTTCAAAAGGTAGGGGTCAGAAAGTAGAAAAACAACATCAACAGCAATACATAGCATTGTTGTTTCATAAATTTGAAATCGAGTTTTAAACATTTAAACACATTTAGTGCTTAACTTTGACTAGAACCACATCGGTGGAACAGATGATGACATATATGTCCATACGCTTCCTTAGAGTATTAACGCATGCTTTAAGAAGCTATTATTGAATGGACTTTGGTACACAATCCAAATGTAATATTTTATTTTCCTATAATGAACATGTCAAAGCGAGGTGCCATTGAAACATATATGTCCATACGCTTCCTTAGAGTATTAACGCATGCTTTAAGAAGATATTATTGAATGGACTTTGGTACATAACCCAAATGTAATATTTTATTTTCCTATAACGAACATGTCAAAGCGAGGTGCCATTGAAAGGTAAGCAGTAAATTCCCCATATCAATTGTTTATTTTTTCGCTAATAGATTATGGGTATACATTTCACTTAATTGGTTTGCTAAGAAAGTATCAACCGCTCCCTCCTTACCAACCATTTCATAAATAATATAATAAATTCTTTCGTTTTTCTCTCCTCTTTTGGACTGCACCTGTTGGGATGTAATCTTCAACAAACCAGTAATTTGTCCATTTTTCGTAACTTAATATGGTGGCATGGGTTTTATATTGTAATTTAGTCTCAGAAGTGAGAAAAGTGTGGGAGAGTTACAAACACCATTTGGTAATGCATGGTAAACTAGACCACAAAAAAGAGATTCCTCTACAAAAGATTTTGGTGTTTTGATTTGTTTTGGTCCGTGTGTTATTAGGTGTGTTCTTTTCTTGGCCGTTATTCTGCTAAAGTAACTTTCATACAGAATATTAAGGCATGGTAAACTCGGTTTTTTCTTCCATGTACGTAATCCCCACTACAGCGTATACTTTTTAACGAAAACCCTTCGAGGTGAGTTGTATTTTTGTTTTTGTTAACAGCGAAAATCTCCCAAATCTTCATCAGACCAAAATATACTATATTTGATCTAGCTAAGTATAAAAAAGGTATTAAATTACAGATTTTGTCTGAATAGTTGCAAGGTTAGTCCTGATCATTGCAATATTTGTAGTAATGATAATAATTAAGAAACCAAGAGAATGCAATGGTGCAGGATTTGTCTTAAGCATTGCATGGTTTGGTTTAAACCTTGTTTTATTCATATCTTTTATAAAAATACATTGAAATACAAAATGTACAAAACATTATATGAAAAAGAAAAGGAAACACAAACAAGTGTCATGACTGCTTCATAATCAATAATATCAACACAAGCTTCGGTGATCTTTTTCTGTGATAATTATAACTGCTTTTTATTAATATATGTAATTATCTCCCTTTACTTGTAATATAATATGTTATTGTTATTTTACATATGTTTGTCGCAATAATAGCTCTCAAGAGATAATGTTCATTGTTTATCTGTATGCGACGTTAACTAAAGTGCCTTATACACGTATCTAGTATCTTGTATTCGGTAATTATGAAGTATTATAAACAACAGAACAAATGCGGGAATAGGGAAGTGGGTAATGGCACTGGATACAAGGAATGAAAGATATATCAGTATACATGTGATCATCAGATGTTAATACCATATTGCTGTAACGCAATGAGTACGTATAAAACGATATATAATATATATATATGTTATACTCTATTGAATTTTCAGAAATGCTGAAAATGGACACTAGACGACTGTTAGAAATGTATATATGTGTATTGTATGATTTCCCCCTTATTATTATAAAAGATGCAAAACAACACATATAAATTGACATTTGCATTTTAAAAAAGCATATCAATTACGTAAACAACTGAAAATGTTGGCTCATGTCAGAATGCCATTGTACAGACTCCAACCATAATTTGTAATAATGGTTAAATTGCTCACCAGATATACGGCAGTATTATATATAAATAAAATGTTCTATTGGGTGTAGATCCTCTATGCGCAAACTAGCAAGAAACTATTTCCATCACTAAGTAGTAATACATACATCTTACTCTATGTAGTAGAGCTATTGTTCATGTTTAATTTATTGTTCATGTTTCTGGAACGCTAAGCCTCGCCCGGGCCATTTTTGTTTATCGCAAAGTAAAATAACTTAATTGAATCGCAAAAAGACAGCATCCCTTGATAAAACGACACGGTTATTGTTTTTTACATTCCATATCTTAACACACATACATCTCAAATATCTAACCAGAGTTGTCGTTCCTTACACTCACTGATCGAGATTGATACAACGTTAGCTCTGCATTGGCCCACATTATAGTCCGCACTCGGGGGATCCCCTGGCCTACCGAGGTCGGTTTATAGTTACAAAAGCGTGACAGATGTAGACACGCATACATTGTTTATGCAAACATTCTCATAGTGCACTATACAATTCAATACATTATACAGATAGAATAATGAAATGGAATGTATATAATGATATCTTATTATAAAATGGTATTTTCTTCTATCAAATGGACTGTTTTGGCCGAACCCCTAAATCCTCAAGAATGGTCTTCACTTCTTTCTAATACGAATTGTTGCACCCTAGTTTAACATGTTTACAATCGAGATGTCGCTAGTGTATTAAATTATTTTACTTCCGGCACGTCCAAGGTAACAACATAGCGGCCATGACGGCTGTATTCACCTTTCTAGTGCGTTAATTATGTAGCTGTGGAATAGACATATGATTTGCTAGTCGGTCTACGTGATGGCGTGCACAGATCCCACAGGTCAGATTCCCGTCAGGATTAAGGGGAGTACCAAATGTTTACATCACAAGCAAAAAGATGTCATCTATTTCTGTGCGACTTGTAAATCTCTGGTCTGTTCAAAATGTGGTATTTCCGAGAATCACTGCAAGCAGCATGACCTGCGCGATATTTCGGATGTTGCCGCAGACAAGACAGAGGAGGTAAGAACATTTATTGACAAAGTGGAAAAACAAGAACTGCCAAAATTGAAACTAGAAATACAAAAAATTGATAGGAAAGTGAAAGAGAACAGCGAAATATTTATAGAAACATCCAAGAAAGTAAAAGCTCAAGCGAACAAGTGTAAAGAGGAAATAGATGTACTAACAGTCGCATTTCTCTCCCTTTGCAACAAGATTGAGTTTGCCAACGAAAAACTGCTTCGGGATTATCAGACAGAGTTACAACTCATACACGACAATCTTGTGGACGAGACAAAGGCATGTAAGCAGTCCCTACAAAACGGCACCGAAGTTGAGGTTTTTGACGCTGCCGACAACTTGCCAGATTTCGAGAAGCAAACAATACCAGAACTTCCGGTAATGGAGACAGCCGAGCTCTATCCACAGGAAATTGTGAGTGGTCTGCTGAAACAAGCGTTGGGCTTACGTAAAACATTGTACAAACTAATGGAAGAACCATTCATACTAACAAAGTTCACATTTCCAGACCAAGCAACGGCGATATTTCCAACAGAACGTGAGCAGGCGTGGATACGAAGCGGGAACAGTGTTGCTCTGGTGGACTTCAACGGGAACACGGTACGAGACCTTCGAAACTCTGTTGTAATGGGAAACATGAGCATCGCTCCCAAAACCGGTCATGTTTGGTTCGCAGGTTTGGAGGAAAACACCATCAACGAGTTTTCTCCAAAGTCATCGGAGTCGGCCATCACAAAGTTTACAATAAAAGACAAACCTCGACGACTGTGTATTACTCGGAACAATCGCGTACTCGTCGGGACAGAGGACAAACTATCGCTGTACACAACATCGGGGGTTGTTTTACGTACTTCGGTGAACACAGCATCAGCTATTGTCATTAGACCATGGAAGATAGTGGAGTGTCCAGTCACTGGGAACATCGCTGTTGGCAACGAAGAAATCGTGAACTGGGATGAAGACATTTTGAACAGTCACGTGATTGTGTTTGACGAGGACCTCACTACTCAATTTGTCTACAGAGGGGAAGACACTGCGGGGTCTAGTGGAACTACTTTCGCACCTGGATCTATCGTGTATGACTACATGGGCAATTTGCTCATAGCTGACTACAGCAGAAACACCATAGAACTGATCAGTGGCACAGGAAAGTACATCAGAAGAATACACACGGCGGAGGAATACTGGCAGGGAAATCTAGGTATGCAGCCGGGCGACGTATTGTGGACGTTACAGATCTCCGACAGTAACACAGACGAGATACTGCGGATCAAGTATTATACCAACTGAACTCTAAAATATTTAAATCTGATAGTGTTAACCCAAAAGACAGCAAAATAGCAAAACTACATATGATATACATTCTCTATGCTGCTAAATAACTACTTCTATTAAAACAACTTCTGAGGTTTATGATGAATTGGTTTCCATAACACTGTTATAGTGATTTTCAAAAGAATCAAAATAATGAGAGAAAAAAACCCGGTGCTTTGGAAGAACCAGGTAACCATGTTTAAATGTTAAATTTTATACTAGTATGAACAAAATATGAACTCTTCCTTTGCAAGTCTCTTTATAAACACCGCCAGAAGAAATTCCACATGTGTCTGTGTAAGCATTTGGATCAGTGTCATTGTTTCCTCTTGCCACAAATAACGTAAAACTATTGAATTATTTAAACATACACATGATATAAGGCTGTTCTAGGAATGTCGTTTGCACTGACGATACATGCACGCAAATACTGTAAATATTAAGTAATACCTTTATTTTAATCGCTTGCACCTTAGAATGTAAATATACATCGTATTGAACGGAGATTTGTTGATGTTAGTGCCTGTATACAAAACAGTTCAGTCCCATTTTACTGATGTCATTATCATGTTAAGGTATCAATCATCTACAACAATGTTTCAAACAATTTGTTCACAGAAATGAAAACAAATGTGAATAGAAAATATGTATTTGTATTTTCAATAGCATAACCTTTCAGTGGATCGCTTTTCTACGCTCTGCAATTATACCAACGGATTTCTGAAATAAAATAGTCCCAGCCTGAAAGCGATTTCCCTGTAACATAAACATATTTTATTTCAATTATTTTTCAATTGATATTGACTGTGCTCGAAAAGGTAAGCGTCTACTTGATTGACACTGGAATAAAATCTACACTTAAGTGGAAAAGTCAGTACATGGTATGCGAAATTTGCGCAGCAATGGATCCCCTCTAGATCTTGAACACGAATTCGTCAGTACATTGATGTGTATCCTATAATTTCGGTAACTTAACTAATCTTTAAATGCATATATTATTTATTAATTAACTACACGTTTTGTTGTTGTTTTTTTGTTGATGGAAGAGATCAATTACAGAAGATAAAGTTAATGACTTGAAGTATGCTGTACCTCAACCCAAGTAAGCCAGACATCTAGTTTCCACAATCTCTAAAGAGAAACATGCATTTTAACATATTATATATATATATATATATATATATATATAGTGTTGCATTTTTTTCGCAAATATAAATACAAGCTTGGCGAGGCGTCACGATACAGGAAATATATAATATTTATTGTTATCGCTCTAATCTTAAGTTATACAACTACTTGCATATATTCTGCATTTTGTTGATAAAGTCAGGTTTATTGCTTCAATATAGTGTGTGCCTCAGCTGTTGTAAATATTGCACATTAGGATAGTGTAGTACAAAGTGTACATAATGTTACATTGTACCGGCTTCAAATTGGCCATGTGTGTGAGACAATGAAACAACCGAAATGAATAAAACTGTAGTAATAAAGGCGAAAAGATTGTCGGAGTGATAGCCCCATTACACACAGAAAAGAATGTAGAACAGTGTAGGGGTAATCTTCATTTTGGCTTTTAAATGTTTCTGAGCACACCAGACGATTAGAGTTATTTAGTGTCGAGATTGTGAACGTGAATACATATCAGTATATTGTGTACGTGTTTATAAATATAGATAGGTGTCGAGGTTATCTTATGTAAACGATCTCACAATCTCTGTCGTTTGATATTTAAAGCTACGGTAGGCATTACCTCGACAAGGATGTAACACGGTGGGTAGTGTACTCACGCCGTAATTTTATTACGAGACAAAAATATCGATCGCCACATTTGACGTTGTGCTGAGGTAGTAGTCTGTATGAATGAAAGTTGTAAATGTGACTGCTGCACTGTGTGTATGTGTGTGTCAAGCTGCTTGTGATAATCGATTTGTGCAAGGAACATGTCGGAAACACGGAATCGTTTTGAACTTCTGGACAAACCAACTGTGATTTCACAGTTTAAGTACTCAAATAACATCACGTCAATCCATCCTACAGAAGATGGACACGCCTGGATATCGGACAGCCAGTCCAAGACAATCGTTCTTGTGGATAACAAAGGCACCGTGAAACGGAGGGTGAGTCATCGAAACAGTGTAGCGGACATTAGTATAGCACTCCATACAAACCATCTCTGGTTCTGTTGTTTGAATGATAAAACGGTTTACGAAGTGCCTACTACATCAGATGAGCCTTTCAAACGGTTCAAGACTGACGATGAACCTTTTTATCTGTGTGTCACAAAGGAAGGGAATATCGTTGTAGGTTCAGAGTTCAAGGTTACGATTTATGATGAGAATGGCGTGGTGCTTCATCAGACAACGCGTGACGTCTCGGGGATCGTTTCACCTGCATCTATTGCCCAGTGTCCAGTGACAGGGAACATAGCCGTCGTGAATGGAGAGCCCACTGGGAGTGATACGGATAGCATTAACAGCTGGAGAAGTCACATTATAGTGTTTGATAAAACTCTTGGTGTTATGTTTCAATACAGGGGAGAAGGAATAAAAGACCAGGAGCCCACAGCGACAGATTTATTTGGTCCTAATTCAATTTCTTATGACTCTTTTGGGAACTTGGCAATTGCTGATTATAAGACCTATACAGTGGAATTAATCAGTGGAACAGGACAGTTCATCCGCACATTAAACAGAAACAGTCGCGAGCAGGGATCCATCGGTATAGGCACTGGGAACGTGTTGTGGACAGAGCTTGAGTCGGACTCTGGAGACTGGATTATACAACTTATGGAGTATTACAAGGACTAATCTGTCAACCAGATCCAATGCGTATAACTTGATTGAACAATATCACTTGCATTAAAAATTCAGTTTAAAATAGTGCACATTTCAGACTGGTCCGAAAATGTTGGACTTGACTTTCCTAGACTTTCCTAGCATTTGTTCCAAATACAATGTAAATTATGTTTAATATTTAAAGTATTTGATGTAAAATATTTGCATTCGTTCATAAGCTTGCTTTGTAAGGGTAATAAAGAAAGAGTATAAATGGTATTTGAGTTTTGTTATTTATTGTCTAATCAAGGGTTCTTCCTGCCTGGAAAACTGATGTTATTTGTTTGTTCTACTTTAAATACCTGCTAGTCCAGAGTTTGTTACCTAATCAATAGATATATATATATATTGCATGAAGAAAGCATGGTATACGTTTGTTTTACTTAAAACACGTGTCCTGCATTTTATTCCAATTGAAATAGCTTTTTGCATGGAGAATACATGGTATTATGTTGTTCCAGTTAAGATACAATTCTTGTGTTTTGTTTTTCGATTAATGTTCTTTTTGCATTAAGAATAAACGTTATTTGTTCTAATTCAGTTACAGTCATATTTTGTTATATAAAAAAGAATACAGTTCATACGTCGTTCATAAGCAAGAAATAATATCAGGAAAATAGGAGACAGTGACGTACGAAATACAAATATGTTCATTGCTTAAATGTTAACTGCATGAAATTACCTGTATTCAGTATCTGTTCACCAGACAAAGTTGGGTTTTATTGTTGCCAGAAATTGTGCTCTAACAGTTTGTAAAGCCTTTGAAACAACAGATACCTGTTTACAATGCTTCTTTATATATTTGCGTGTTTTTTAATACACTATATGTGTCTTAGTTTAGAAACCTTCCCTTTATGGAAACGTAGCTATGCTTTGTATTATTGAGTAATATGATGCATATAGAAGTACATGTTTCAGTCTATGCCATCTTGGTTAAGGATAATATAAAACGAATTTTGAATCGAAACTAAACACAATTAATAAATTAAACAGCTTTAAAAACATAGAATCTTCATTTTCTCTTTGCAGAGGTGTCTGAATAGTTCGCTAGGTCATTACTTATACAATGTCGAATATGATACATGCATATCAAAAGACCGAAATGAAAGTCTTTAACTATTTTCCCTTTTGCTACATAAGACCTCAGATCCTACTAGACATTATTACATAACATTTAGTTACAAGTATACCCCTATACAATCCTGTACCCCTCCACCAATCGCCTTGTCCAACATATGCTTTCCATAAAATTAGGTTAAAATCCTGTCAAAGGTACTTAAAAGTAGTCTTTTAAACATTTACACATGTTGAACCAAGCTCCTCTGCCTATAATGTTGCTTTATCCTGTGTAATACAACGTTGAGTCCCCTTGACCATGGATATTGTATACCAAATTAGGTTACCTTCCTTCCATCCATACTATAGGAATAGTCTTTTAAATTTGTATCTGTACCTCCCCTATTGAGCCCAGCAGAACATCTGCTCCCTTTGGGTCACACAATTCATATATACAACATTATTTTTATTAAGTCCCCTTTGGTCCAGGGATATTATTGCTTAATTGACACTAATACTTTCAACCATATTGAAAAATAAGTCCTTTATAGATTTACTCCTAATTTGACTATATGGCTCTGCCACAAGGAATCTACTTTGTTTTGTTTTAAACACATTTCGTTCCCTAGGTCTAGGGATTCTTTTCACTGAAGAAGGTTAAAAACATTTCAGTAGTCTGTAAAATTTTACTACATCCCTCTATTCAACCCCGACCATATGCCTCCGGAGTGACACACCTTTTGTTTATTTTCATGAGTAAAAATAATAGAACATCCTATGTGTATTCACTCAATATACTTCTCCATGCACATACGTATTTGTACATAAACATACTATTATATTTGCAATAGACAGCACAATACATGACATCATCATTCGATAATTTATTACATAAGTAATATAAAATGACCAACAGCCTGATGTACAGTCTATATCGTTCTTTATATCACTTTCAACATTAATGTAATTAAAATAGCAAATATAGCTGGACAATTTCTTTATACTTTCCCCATGAGAAATGCTTTGGTTTATAATTGCAAGAGTATCATATGAAAATTATGACATAATCTGAAATGTTTAGTTTAATTATTTTTCTATCATTCATAAATTGTCTGACAATTTTTATTGAAAAATTATTTAACTTTTACTCCGGTTTTCTCAGCATAATCTTTGAATATGTTTCATTAAATTTAAAATTAAAAAAAGAAAAAGTGCATTTTTTATCAATAGATTTTAGTTTGAAATGAATTTGGTAGTTCATTAAAATTTGTTATAGGTACTGCCACCATTTATCCTGCAAAATTTTGGTGTTACAAAGGCGATAGGGTTTATATCGATGGCAACTTATATAGAAACAGTATGGAAAAGGAGACCCTGAAATATGTTCGTGCTAAGCAAGGTCGCAGAAGAAACTAGGAGTATGATATGAAAGTTTACTGTAATAGTAAGAGGAATATAGCAAAAGCTAATTTTTAGATCAATTCTGGGGTTCAAATTGAATAGGTCAGACTGTACAAATGGGGTATAGTGATATTATTAGATAGACATGGTTAGGACAATTCAATGATCTGAATGAAAATCACTTTTATAAACTGAAAACCTAGTTAGAAATTTCTCAAACATTAATTTTCTTACTAGCTACCTATTGTAAAAAAAAATAATCAAGATGAGTGTTCAAATTTAAATGTAACCATGAAACGTAATTTAAAAATTGTTTGCAAAATCTTGAGTCTGTAACATGAGGAATTGAATATTTTGCTAATAACTATGTGAATGTTGAAGCAAAGGAAGGACGATCTATCAGGATATATAGGTAACCAATACACAAGCCTAGAAACAATTACACAGAAAACTTAACAAGAATTCTCACAAGACAGCAACTTCTGAAAAGTGAGTTTTAAGAGTGTTGAACCCTTTGTACATAGACGTTATGATTTTTAAAGTGATTTAATTTTTTGCCAATACCAGGGCAAGAATAAAATTACCTCACTATCATGAATTATGGGAAATGAGTATGTAATGGTATGTAATGTATCAACTGGCAAATAGTCAGGTAAACAAACAAACATGATCAACAGGTGATTCAAAATGTATCATGCCTGGTCTTTCACTTTCCAATTATTTAAAGCATGATTTACTTACCGTTACTGGCAAATTAAGCCATTTTTTTATGACAATATCACTTGCGTTAAAAATTCAGTTTAAAATAATGCACATTTCAGACTAGTCCGAAAATGTTGGACTTGACTTTCCTAGCATTGTATTTGTTCCAAATACAATGTAATTTATATTTAATATTTAAAGTATTTGATGTAAAATACTTGCATTCGTTCATAAGCTTGCTTTGTAACGGTAATAAAGAGAGAGTATAAATGATATTTGAGTTTTGTTATTTATTGTCGAATCAAGGGTTCTTTTACTTTCCAATTATTTAAAGCATGATTTACTTACCGTTACTGGCAAATTTTATGACGGAATCTTTCATGAAATTTTTAATTTAATCATATATCAGCATACTTAAGATGTTAACGAAAAAATCTAAAGACAATGAAAAAAAAATGTTTGTACATTTTTTCATTGAAAAGGATTTTTTTGAAAATTTGAATCAATTATCAAACTGATTAGGCAATTTCTAAACGTTTTTCTTCAGGTTGGTTATGGTAAGTATGAAGTTTAGAAATGTTTCATCAAGCACAACCAGTGAGTGTTTATGTGTAAACATTTCTATGACTAGTATATGGTACATATACCCTGGTTGTGCTTCATAACCACCAATAATAATCACCAATATAACCATAATAATCACCAATATAACTTATTAGACTATGGTCAAAGTTCAGAGAAACCTGGCTTTCTAATAAACAAGCCTATGTGCCCTGCAGACTTGAGAACATAACAGAACAGAATACACAGAAATTGTATAACATACATTATATATTTATTTAGCTTACAAATCAAACTACATACATCACCTGTATTTTTAGCTTAATGTAAGGACAAAACATCATTTTTAAAATTAAGTGTTTATCATAGAGATTCAACAAAATATTGCACATTGTTTCTGAAACATGTTCCAGAGCTTCAGCTGGTAAAGCTATATCAGAACTATTTCCCTTACTTTAAATATGAATTCTTGAGTTGTTTTCCCCTTCATATTCAGCTGGATTTGATGCTATTCCAGTATTTCAAATACAAAATGTATCTCTTCATTATGTGTTAATTATTTAAGAACACATCTGTTAAGTTTAGTATTAATTGTTACAAAACAATATTGTATACTATTGACCATATTGTTGACCATGGCCACAAACATTTGTGTCAAATAGTGGACCTAGCAGGGTTTACAAGGGGTCCAGACACAGGTACTAGCCTTGTCTTTCAATATACCAATAGTTATATTATGGGTGTATTGACAGATGAGGCTAGTACCAGTGGTCTAAAAACACCTTCTGGAATCTGCAATGCTAAGTACCTTTAATTTATCAGAAGTTTTAAAAAGAATTATCTGAATATCATCCATTTTCCTTCAATTTTCCAAACTGCAGAGGGCTAAATTTGTTTCCTATACAAAATGAACATTTAATTTGGCAGAAGTATTCCATTAAAATCTTCTTGATCTTACACATGTTCAGTTCACATTTTTTTCCATACAGGAACATGAATCCTGATTGACAGGGGTAAACACTTCACCCTATACACCATTCAGATCAATGTTCATCGGCATGAGGAAGTCGTGCATGGCATATTTCCATGTCCATAAGCGTGCTATCCGATTGAATTCATTCCTGTTTCCTGCGTACAGATGCCCAACCGTTGGTTCCATACAAACGTGACAATAAGGGTCCGTTAGTAATGACTGAATACTGATCAACACTTTGGAAATTGTCAGAGCTAAACTCCAGTTATGATGTATTGAGTCCAAGCCCACGTCACCATGGCGACTGATGTTCGGATGAAATATCTTTGTAATGAACCGTACTTTAGGAGGTCTCATTGGGTAACTGTAATATAAATTTTTTTATCATTATTGAAATATGGTGCCAGCAATAAAAATAATATCTTACATCTTCTTTATAGAACAAGTCATTCAAAGTCACTGGATGATATATTTGTGTAAACCTTCGTCCTCCCAAAAATATTAGATCCCTTCTTTTTAAATAACCTCATCTATACCACATACTGTTACTGGTGACATACTTAATTAGTACGACAAATGAAGGACTTGCAGCCCTTTATAAATAAACTATTGATGGACAGATTTGAGTTAAAAATCTATTTGGCTTTCATAGTGGATATCATTTTATCAACCAGCCAATGTTTCACGTGTTATTTACAGTATATAAGAAATTTGAAATAAAATGGGACAAAATACAAAGGGACAAAATGCGAACAAAACACAAAATTTCTCCTAAGTCATTACAAACAATAAGTATGAAAGGTTTTGTTGTCCTACCTTTGTGGTATCTGTAGGTACAACAAGAATAGACCTCCCTCGTAAGGACTCCCTTGGGGACCAGTGATGGAGGCCTGCCAGTGACAGCAGTGTCGGTCTAGAGGAGTAGCTTTGATCCCCTCTGGAGGGTCTGACTTTAGAGTCTTCAGTTCACTCCTCAGTCGGCGATGTCGCCAGGAGTTCTCCTCTATCGGTGGTGTACTCTGGAAAATACATTTGGAAATGTTAATATGACACAATTTTACTGGTCAGTCATTTACGGCATTCATCATCACCATTACGTTATTACTGTCTTATAAATGAATGAATCAAAGAAATAAACTTATGTTATAAGGAACAGGTAGATCTAGAATTACTGAAATGAAGAGGTAAACCACTTTTGTAAAATTTTGCTTCTGTTGTATGAAGCTGCAATTTCAAATAATGATGCATTAAGATATAAAGAAACAATCAGATTATGACTTTGTAGTCTGTATTACATGTATTTATATTTATTGAAACTAATACTTAACTAATCAAATGAATTTTCTATCAAGTTCATAATTCATTTTGATATCATTTTTGAATGCAAGGGAGATAACTGTGTTACCTGTAACATCATGCTCTCTAAACAGTATTTACAAGGCGAACTCTCCAGTCTGAAAATGAACGGAAAAGAAAGAATTTGGTTAAAAAGTAACACTGTTCTAATATTGGATATTACTTTCAAGTTAATTGAATTAAACCATCTAATAGATATCTTATATATTACAATGTGAACTGACAGAAGTATGAGTAAACAAAAAAGTCAGACAAAAATATTGTTCTGACATCATTATAGCACACTTTTTATACGATTTGAGTCATATTTAGGCAATGTCCATGGACTCGTTTTTCACTGTTAATGAAAAGCAGGATCTGAAAATTTGTTTCAACCAATCATTTTTGGGGATGGAGAAAGAAGGGTACAAGTGGCATGATCTGGAGGCTAGCAAAAAAACAAAACAAGGTGGAGGAATGTCGTTAGTGGCCTATGCTCCATCAAGGGACAACAGGATTATGCAAGTAAGCAATCATTTTGGCAGGTTTTTCGTGTATAGCAATATAAGAACCAATTACTTTAGACAGACTTGTGAAAAGTAAATATCTATCCATTATCCAAGAAACCAGTATTAATAACCAAGGCAAAAATAATATTAATCAAATATTATTTATTTTACCTTTTTATATATGCAGACATGACACAGTACATGTTGATATTATTCAACATATATTAAATACAACACTTACAACTTTGTATAAATTGTTTTCCATGTCTTCACTCTGTACTGTGGGTAAAACAGCGGCCAACGCAGTTTGCAAAATTCTTTCCATTGGGAGTCGGTTGTCTCCCCTTCCAAGATTTGTCTCCATCTTGAACACACCCGTCCTGCTGTCCACAGGGAAATATCGTCTAGGTATTTAAATACTACTAACAACACTGAAAGACAGATAGAAATTGGTTCAGACAAATATGGTAAACATATGGGAATTTTCAAAAAGGCTGATTTTGCTGTCTCTTTTTCACAATGATATAGACAGTTCGCAAAGTGTTACAGTTACAGATTCTATATTATTAAAACTGTCATGCTACATGATTAAATATGTTCTATGCAATGTTGTTTCATCCAGTGGCAAAAACTGAAGATACCACAGAGTCAAAAATAGCAATGTAAAGGGCATTTTCATATTTCATCAACCAACTGGTTATAAATCAAAAATCTTTCACTTTCAATTTTCTATTCAGCTCTGATTTTCAATCAACATTGACTGCTTGTGTAAACAAATTATAAATATGAGACTTTGTTCTTAAAAGAATTTCTTTAAAGAAAATAATGACTTGAATTTTTTTCTTTCTAACGAGGCTTTTGTCAAGCGGAATTTCCAAGTCAAACTCAAGACTCGTTTTGTTTTCAAACTTTCCTATTCTATATTCTATGTATTATTTAAGATTCATAGATGCTTTCATAGTGGATAGCCAACTTATAAAAAGTTCACAAAAACCTTTGCATCCATCTGGTTTCTTTTTTCCCATTTCTATACCCATTTACATGCATAAATATTACAGTACATGTAATGTAAATCACTATTTGTGTAAAACATTTATTTTGTGAATTGAATTTTAATGAATGACATCTTAAGTACCACAAAAAAAACCAAATATATTTAACCATTACTGAATAGGTTTGAATAAATCCTACCAGGATTAAAATTCCATGTAAATTAAAATGAAAATGTCTATCTCATGACTGATTATGTGATTTTACAGTTAAAATCAAGAACAGATTTGATCAAGTTTATTAGCCAGACCTTCTGGGGGCATGGAATCCACTAAACCTTCAGGTACCAGGTCTTTCTCTCTTGGCATTGTTAGTGAAGAGATTCGCTCAGTGAGTTTGTCCATTTTATGAGTGACACCAGACTTGACTCTCCTCGTCTCCTGTGGATCCTGACTTCCGTTTGTGTAGAAATCAAATGCTGCTCCAGGTTCCTCATTCCCTGAATCAGCATCTGAATCATCTTTCTGTTGATTATAAAACAAAACAAATGATTAGATTATGATTAACTCTATTATTTTATGAATAGTAATGTGTTGAAATACTCAACTTTTTATAACAATTAACACAAAAGATATATCCCATTACTAATCAATCCATGCCTATATATTTGCCATTCCTAAACATGGACACAACACATATTTACAATGCAATGATAAGGGCTTTTTCAATGTACAATGCTGATTGGCAATAATGAAGGAATTTATACATTTTTCAAATGATTTTTCAATGTGTTTATAATTTTTCATATTTTTTCTCAATATCTTATCAAGAAGAGGAAGTTAGCTAAAAAATATATTGCAAAACTTCTGAATCAATAATTTATGGATGATATCTGCCAGAGGCAGTGATAGAAGGTCTAAACTGGGTAGTCCTGTTGTAACATTTCTCAAAAATTATGAACTATATATTTCACCATAAATCCATGTACTATTTTTTTTAGGTTAAAGACCAGTCAAATTACAAGGGAATAGCTATATTTTTAACTTAAATTATTGATTATTAACTAAAACACTATAATGTAGTCTAATTTACCAAACTGTTTCAATAATCATTTATGAGAATTAATAATGGAATTGGGACTTTCGAATTCTGACCTCGTTGTAAACTTCCTGATCTCCATCTTCTGAATTGATGTCTGATGTGAACAAGAAGAGATGGCAGGTGCTACACACAGGCTGGCCAAAGTTGGAGCCATAAAATCCATCACATATCATGCATCTTGAGTACTGGAAAGATAAAGAGTGAGACATCATTATAAATATTATAGAGGCATGTCCTGTCCATTTTTTTCCCCACCAACCACGTGTATATATATGTTATTTTTTTATGATTCCATGCCATTGACTGCTAATTATATAGCCTGGTCCCTAGACCGAGTTTTCCTCATGGTCCAACAGCAGACTTGAGGCATTCTGACAAAAAAGATGTCTGGTTATAATTAATTTGGAGGCTCATGACACAAGACAGACATCTAACTTCATATGCCTAAACACCAGACATTATAATATCTGTCTGAATGTCTCAAATCTAGTGTTGGAGCCAGAGGAAATTCTGGCTACCTGGTTCCTTACAGTAGAATATAATCATGAGCATAAGTATTAAAGCCATTTTGGTCTCTGTGGAGTATAACATATATAGATAGATAGAAGAGTAAAATAGAATCATGATAAGAAGCACTGGATCCAGAACCTGTGTATCAGGATAAACCGGAATCATTTTTTATGCGGTAGATTCTAACACAAATATGTATGCCTGAAGAAAAATGATGAATTTAAATCAAATGTCGAGACAAATGAGTTGTAGAATCACTCTTATACCTCTATCTTGAGAAATTCAGAAATATTTAACTTGGAAACACTTCTTCCGGTTTTAGTGTCAGCCATATTGTTTGGGAATTACCTACTGTTGCGCATGGGTCAAAGCAAGTTCTACTTCCGGAAATCACCGGTGCGTACCAAACAGTAAGTCGGTAAGTAGACATAAGAATATTTGTCTGTCAAGACGACTGTGCCGATAAAACAGTTTTAGATTTGTAAAATTTTATTGTCCTTTCATTGTTTGAAATGGTGTAAGCTAATAGCAGGTTCAATTGTTGGAACTTACAAAGCTGTCAATAACGCAATGTTCTTGCGGCATGGCTAGTGAGTTCAGAAAATTGTGTGCGTTTTGGAGGGGGTGGGGGGAGGTTTACTGTAGTTATATTTTGATGAATTTCTGATATTTTTCCATAACATTCAAAACACTACAAATCCCTGATTCAATCAATAGATATGTTGGTTCTTGATGTAAATACTTGTTTCGTCTGTGAAATGCTAAAAATATATACAGATCTTTAATTCAATAGATAATCCACTACAATGTATATGTATTAAGTGAAACTGTTGAATATGTTAAATCGTAGGGAAACAACCTAAAATGTAAATGATATTATATCGTAGAACAACAGCCTAACATTTTTGTGATGTTAAATTGTTTGACACCAACCTAAAATGTAAATATGACAACAACCTAAAATGTATCTGATAATGTACCGCCTGCTCATATGACAACAACCTAACGTGTTTATGATGTTGTATCGTTTGACAGCAACCTAAAAATGTTTATGATTGTGTCTGACAACAACCTCAAACTTATTTTAAATTATGTACATGTATTTAATGACACCAACCTAAAATGTTTATGATGTCGTATTATATGACAACAATTAACCTAAAATTATTTACGATGTATGTCAACCTCTGAAACCTTCAATGAGGGAGATCTCCCCATTCCACATTTCCAATTGCTTGAAATGGGACGGCAAATTGCTTTGCTCAATTTAATTACATTTCCCTTTTTATGTATCAAAATATCTCCAAAAAGCGTAAATTTAATGATTCAGACGCACTTGGTATGATCATTATTTACACACACCCTGCAGTAACTGTAGGTATTCATTTGACAACGGGATGTAGATTTTGAGTTTGTGTGTGTTTGGACTTGAATGGGGGAGTTTTTAGGGAGATTGGTAGATTTCGGTCAAAATGATGGACTCCTAATGAGGAGGATCCCGGTTGTATCGCCCTAAATCCAGTTCTCACAAGGTTGTTTCGTCCTAATTTTAAAGTTATGAATATCAGTTGAAATGTTTTTAAGTATTAAAATTTTCATGTTTCACCACAGAATTAGATCCAAGTCTGTGGTTTTCACGAGCAAATGTTTTGTTGAAAAATTCCAGGCTGAATTGTATTTGCAGATCTGATCGACCACGTACAAATGTAACATGTTTTATAACAAAAAATGCTAAGAGAGACCTAGAAAAACTTCAAATAAGACTATACTAGCCAAACAGGACTAAACAAATTTCACCCTAAAAATATTTTTAGGGGGGAAACAACCGGAGCGAACAGGATTTAAGGTGAAATTACCTGATACCAATGTAGATAATGATATATGTATTTCTTTCTAGTAAGTGTTTCATATATTTTTTTTGCAGATCTTGGATGGTTGTGTGTATGATCCTCTGTACTTGTGAGTAACTGCAGACACTAGCTGGGATTATGGGAAAATACATCAAAGAACATTAGTGATATAAAGGAAATCTAAAAGACATTGAATGTTTTTCATTCTGGATAATAGAGATTCAATGCATCATACAATGAAGTGGCGACAATAGGTTTGTTTCACTTGGATTAATGATCTTGTGAACAGGTCAGATGAAATAGGTAAAAAGACATTGTCAATCAACCAGCAACATGACAGAAGCTTTGCCTCGAGGAAATTTCGGACCAGGAATCACAACTCTACCTGTTATTTCCTGGTTTGAGTTTCTCCTGAATGACAAACTGCTGGAAAATCATCTACAGCTCGAAAATCCAGGTAGGAAGTCTGCAAAATTAAGATCAATTTCTTAAGAGACATAATTGTATATAAAAACCAACCATTGGTCATCATATGGTCTGGTCATTATGTACATCCCTGTACCTCGTTATTGGCTCTGATGTGCACTTCAGGGGATATAATATAGCTGAACCAGAGTTTTAAATATTGTGTGCTGTGCTTTTTGGGACAGGACTCATGATCATGATTGTCCGGTTTGAGATCTGTCCATTTCTTGAACCTTCATGTACAAGCTGGTACTACATTTCTTAGTATATATATGCAATTGGACTCACTGTTCAAATTATATATTGAAAACAATGTTTAGGACTGGGCTGAAGACTTCATTTACTTCTAGATCTTCATTAAACTGTAAGTGCAAAAATTAGAGAAAATTTAGTGGGAAAAACGGCACAAAGGTAATTTGTATTGATTTTTAAAGTACAAAACTGAGGTTCCAATGCCATTGTCAATATCAGCATGTTTGCCAGTTCATTATATGACGGGCAATTTAGCGGGTAACTTTTCTTATTAGTTTACTTTTATCAGGTCTCTGTTTGTGAACGTTAACCATTAAGTACAATATGTCCCTGTCATACTTTACATATACATTAGATGATATTTGACACCAGACTACAGGGGCCTAGCTTGTATACAAAATGTTTGTACATTTAAATGGTATCTAGATCTGCTGACCATGGGATTCGCACTAAGAAGTGTATAATACTTGTGTGTGTATTGGTGGAGCGTGTGGTACCCATGTGTGTAATCTGTCTGACACATATGTGTTACATGTGAAGTCATGATCCCTGAAGCAGCACTAACGAGATCGACTTACAGATATAATTAAAATTCTTTTGTTTTAAGCGATTCATTAATTAGCAGGTCACCTTATCAGATGATCAATGTTATTGAAGCTGTAAATCAATGTTAAATCGGCACACATGGCATTTAAACGTGTATCAATTACAGTACAGGTATGTGTACACCTCAATTTACAAGGATCCAGTGTAGGTAAAGGTCAGAAATCTTGTGATCAAAATGTCTTGTTTAGTACAGTACATGTACAATAAAATTATCTTTTTAGTTAATACTATATACATGTGTATTACATGATTTCATGCAATGATTTATCATGATCGTTTTATAATGTTTCAATTTAATGTAATACTTATATATTAAATAAAAAATGAACCTGATCAATTATTTAATGCCATTTAAATCCAGTGCAGTGAAACTCCGTTATACTAAATATATGATATGCATTTAATTGATAGTGATGAATGTTTTCATCTATTTTCATTAATTACAAGCCTATTCATTTTGAAATATAATGTTCAGCACATATATAGAAAGATATTGTTTCTGAGTGACTTTAATTTTACAGACAGTGCATCTCAAAAATTGGCAACAAAACAAATCATCAAGTGAATAAAAGCTAAGTTAGCAAGAGATTTAAAAAGTGATTTGATCTATACGTGTAGATTGTCTCATTTTGAGGGGCTTCATATCTGTATCCTTCTACTACCCACACAGATCCGACACCTGTCCAGCTGATCATCCAGTTCCTACAGCAGGCAGAGTCACACCAAGCAGCCAACAATGTGCAACAGATTATACAGCGGGAGATGTCTTCACCTCTCCCTCCAATCCCCACCAGCAACGGCCCGGGGCCAGACCAAATCAAGACAGAGGAACAAGGTAGTGTAGCACCTGTCTATTGTGACCACTCTTGTCCTTCCCCAGTTTTCTGCAACTATATCTCTTAAGGCTAATGAAAACCTGGTTGGTTGGTTGCAATTGGTTGACAGGTTTATAGCCTACATGATCATGACTCCACCCATGTGGGTTTCAGTTCTGTCACCCCCAACATAAAATGGGGGGGGGGCATATAGTGTTGCCCATGTCCGTCCCGTCCTGTCCTATCCTATATCCCGTCCTGTCAAACATTAAGCACTGAAACTAGTTTCACATGGTGAAGGGGGCATTCAAGTCTTACAGACATTTCCTAGTTTTAACATTTGTCTAAAATGACCAATCGGAATCCTCTTTCCTATAACTTGTCTGTTGTGACAACTCCAATTCTTCCCTTCCTTTGCACATTATCCAAACAGACCACTCCTGTCCTTCCTATCCCTTCGATCCAGATCCTGTCCATGGTGACCTCCCCAGTTCAATCACCTGTCTAAAGCAAGCACCTTTGTGATAAGACCACTTTACAATAAGCTGACTATAGTGACCACCCTTCTTTGTTGCTGTCAAAGTTTGTCTGAGTTGTTGATGGTTGTTGGTGGTTGTTGTCAGTGGTTGTTGGTGGTTTTTGTCAGTGGTTTGAGTTATTGGTAGCTATATGTATCTGCCATTTATTGTTTGAGTTGCTGCTGGTAGTTTGGGTGTTTGGTGTGTCCTATGTTTAAACCAAGGAAGAATAAATCTGACATATTGGAGAACCGTAGTTTATGTTTAGCTACTACCCCGGTAATTACATTGTATTGATGGTAAGATAAACCTATGGTATTATCCCAGGTGTGTAAATTACTCTGTATTGGTTGTTTGTAATTGTTTGACCAGCTATGGTCAATATTGACAGATATGTATATATACAGATTCCTCTGTCCCACTACCAGTACTGAAAGTATAATTTCACTGTGTATACAAATCTCTCCTGCCTGTTTGTCTTTTGGATCAATGGACAGTAGATACTACAGATCCTATTTCAAAGGAGCAGCAGTCACACTCAGCTGGGTAGAATTCTAACATGGTCAGCACAGTGTATGTGATTGAGATGGAGCCGCCACTGGTCTCCCTCATTACCTGTCTATAGTGCTCTGCCTCATGCTTCTTTTTCATTACCTATAACCACACTGTCCTAATACTGTCTATAGGGACCACTAATCACACTGTCCTATTACTGTCTATAGGGACCACTAACCACACTGTCATATTACTGTCTATAGGGCCCACTAACCACACTGTCATATTACTGTCTATAGGGACCACTAACCACACTGCCATATTACTGTCTATAGGGACCACTAACCACTCTGTCCTATTACTGTCTATAGGGACCACTAATTAACCACATTGTCTTATTACTGTTTATAGGTACCACTAACCACATTGTCCTATTACTGTCTATAGGGACCACTAACCACCCTGCCCTATTACTGTCTATAGGGCCCACTAACCACACTGTCCTATTACTGTCTATAGGGACCACTAATTAACCACATTGTCTTATTACTGTTTATAGGGACCACTAACCACATTGTCCTATTACTGTCTATAGGGACCACTAACCACACTGTCCTATTACTGTCTATAGGGACCACTAATTAACCACATTGTCCTATTACTGTATATAGGGACCACTAACCACACTGTCCTATTACTGTCTATCGGGACCACTAATTAACGACACTGTCCTATTACTGTCTATAGGGACCACTAACCACACTGTCCTATTAGTGTCTATAGGGACCAATAACCACACTGTCCTATTACTGTCTATCGGGCCCACTAACCACACTGTCCTATTACTGTCTATAGGGACCAATAACCACACTGTCCTATTACTGTCTATCGGGCCCACTAACCACACTGTCCTATTACTGTCTATAGGGACCACTAATTAACCACATTGTCTTATTACTGTCTATATGGACCACATCTTTCCCATCACCTGTCTACAGTTAGTATATTGACAATCTCATTTCCCCATTATTTGTCTGTAGTATCCCTATTTCAGGGTTCGAATTTAACCAGATTTTCTACTTGCATTTTTTCGCAAGTGGTATTTTTTCTTACTTGCTAAATTGCTAAATGAGAAAACAACTTGCAATTTGCATTTTTCCAACTTTATTAGACGTGTTAACTTAGAATTAAATTCTAAAACAACACAGCATTAACTGACATTTTAAATTATGGTCATTGGGATGTATACATGACGCAAACCTTGCTGTGAAAGGATGCTGGCCTGCTCAGGCTAGTCTAAGATATAGCATAGAAACTGCATCTTAGTTTCTTGCTCCATATGTCCATTTGTTGTTTTGCCGGTGCAGCGAGCTGTGAAATTTAACCTTGTGAAACTCCAATACAACCACGTGACTAGTCAAGCCTATCGTATTTGCGCTATAAATAGTAACTAAAAATAGATTACCGAAAAACATCATGCATGCGGTAAACGTCATCATTATTTGTGCAGGTACTTCCTAACAGACATGTGCACGGGACATGTATCAATTGTAAACTTCCGTTAATGACAAAAGCTGAATTATTCGTTCGGCGAATGACAAGAATGCGCTTAAATGACCGCGAGTTGTCAAAGACAGAATTTGTAAAGACCGACCATTAGAAATGAGGATTATTCAGGCCAAAATTTTCACTCGCAAAAAAATGCTGGTGTCTGAAATCTCTACTCGCAGTTTGCAATTTGCACTCGCTTTTCGCAAGTATGCGAGCTGAAATTCGAACCCTGTATTTCCCATTACAATGTAACTGTCTATAGTGACTATCTGTCTTTCTCTTTATTTGTCTACAGCTAGTATAATCATTCATTCCCATTACCTGTCTTTAATGACCATATATCTTTCTCATAACCTGTCTATAGTGACCATCCCTTTCCCATTATCTGTCTATAGTGACCATCCCTTCCCCATTATCTGTCTAGTGATCATCCTTCTTTCCAATTACCTGTCTTTAATGACCATATATCTTTCCCATAACCTTTCTGTAGTGACCATCCCTTTCCCCATTATCTGTCTATAGTGACCATCCCTTTCCCCATAACCTGTCTATAGTGACCATCCCTTTCCCCATTATCTGTGTATAGTGATCATCCCTCTTTCCCCATTATCTGTGTATAGTGATCATCCCTCTTTTCCATTACCTGACTAGTAACCACTCTGTCCCATTGATTACTGTCCATTACCTAAAGTTTCCCCAAACTTTTTGTGCTTATGACAACCCTCTTTCCTTGTACCTGTCTTAATATCCTGAACTGAATTGTCCTTTATGAAATTAAAAAGTGACTGCATCATTTCAAGGAGAACATGATAAGAGATTTTGTTGGAATATTCAGAGTAGAAGTCAAGGGGGAAAAAATCAGTATTAGACAAAAAAATATCAGGTGCTATCAGGATGTCCTTAAACCCAGGTCTGTATTCACTGTAGTCAAACAAAGGTATTGGATATATATGAATAAAAATATGACAGATCTTCATGCAGTTATTTTACAGTCAAACCTTTTTGTCAAAGTCCTTGGGACCATATATATAGAAACAGTTGAAGGTACAGTCACGATGGCATATTTTAACACTTTTATACCTAGGTACCTAAAATACATGTATACATATGTGTGCAGTGATTTTTTGTCTACGTTTACAGCTGAATATAGGCTGCTTCACCTGAATATATGGTATAATGTGCTTTATTTTCCTAAAATGAAGAAAATATCAGGAATACCTTCTCAATTTCAATAAAATAATATTATATTTTCCCAATTTATGTAGGAACAGGCGGTTGTAAAAGTTAGGTTAGGTTTAAAAATCACAGGTATGTCTTGTTTAAGGAGTATTCAACCATTTAAAGCTGTACATGTATAGAAAGGTAATTTTTAAACATTTTAGAGTTGCACTTAATATATAATTAGCAACTGGTTCAAATATACAGGAGATAACAGGGTGTACAACTCCACTAGCCCAACACCCAGGGCAGCGGATTTAATGTCCTTATTTAATTTCTGGCTTGTGAATTTCAATATTTACCTTGAATATATAGGTTGGGCTGGTTGAATTGTTTTTAAATCTGTCTATGAAGTTGTTCTTTAGATTTTAAAATTGTGCTCTCTTGCAGATTACAAAATCTATAATTAACATCTTTGTAGTTCTTAGAGGTTAATTGTTTGTAGGTGTAAAAACATGATTCCACTGCTAAGTATATATATCAGGTGATATATATCAAAATCTCTTCAATAAATTTTTGTTGTTTCTTAAAAGTCCAGATTTTTAGATTGATAGTCTTAAAGCAGCATTATACTAATTAACCTAAACACACAAAATTTCAAAACACTGAAATTTCAATGATCATCTGATTTTTTTTAAAAACCTCAAAAGCGTTGTATTGTTATGGTGTAAAGGTCTTGCTAGTTGATTAGGAGCAGATCTATTGTGATACAATGTATACCACTTCAGGTACCACAAAGTGTTGTTTTGTCAGAGTTCAGTACCCCTGTCAGGACAGTCTTACAATGGTATAGTTCCGTTCTCAGTGATAGCTTGCTATCTGACTGCTCAAGTTATTTTTACCACTACTCATAAGTACTAGGTTTGTGTAATAATGTGTTGTGGTGATCAAGAGATAGACTGTTAGTCCACAGGAGGTCTCTTATATGTAATAATATAGTAGACAGTATATATATGTACAGTAAATTTGAAACTCTAGCAACAATCCTTTGATAACATGTCATATTTGACACGACTAGATGAGGAACTTCTGAAGGTGGTCAGAAGCATGTATATCAATTTCAATAATTAGTTCACATGATCAGATTTATACGTAATCTACGCCTTGCATAAAGTAGCTATCATTGTAGCTCATTCTTTAACTAAGATTTATATAACAAATACAACAGTAACTGGTACTTTGAAAACTGATCTGCAAAATATTTCTGGTTATAATGATGGATATAATTTGTGAGATATATACTTCCCAAGTATTTTATGGCTAAGTTAGAGTATGTTGTAATGTTTAGTGTTAATTGTTTTCATATAAAATTCCTAAAACTGAGTATATACTTCCTTTTATTGATGTGGGTCAAAGAAGTTATATCAACGGTAAAATCCCATTAAATGCTTGATCCTTACAAACGTAGGTTTGTAGGAAACAAATTACCGTACTTAAAATTGGTATATATCAACTATGTCAGCTCTCCCAACAGTGTAGACAATATAACACTGTTAAATTTTTGGAGCAATCCTTTTATTGATATGTATATACAGCTGTACAACACACATGGTAATGCTGTCAAAAGGTTATTTCTGTCTCTAGGACACAACCTGTTTATACTAATCCTTTGTTTATCAAAGCTAAAGAAGTCTATTATCTCCCTGACAATGATTGAAGTGGGAATAGTAATGACACTTGTTCATTGTTTTGGTACCATCTGTGCATCCATATGCTATTGAGAACAAATAATTTTACTCCTAAATACCATATTTTGGAATGCCTATCCTTCCCTGTCTTTCCTACCTTTGTTTTCACACAATAATTCTTTTCCTGTTGTCAAAATCTATTCAAATTTCATACATCTTTTTCCAGAAGTGAAACTAAATGTTACAGCTCAAGTCCGAAGGCCAATATAGGTCAATTAGGTAACTGTAGCTCAGGTTAAAAATCACATTCAGCTCAATATATACATGTAGTGCAGGTTCAAATTAGTAGGCCAATTACACACAAAAGTTCATATGCTACTAAGTTTCAGTATGGAAAGTACTTGCTTGGGATTGATTTTCTGGTCCAAAGATCAAATGTCAAGGTCACTGTAACTAAAAATTCATTTCCCCTGGTTATAGGGCTGCAAATTGAACCCAAACACACTGGATATAAACATGTATGTTCGTAAGTATACAATATACTGCCTCTTTAATTTCTTGGACAACAGCTGTATATCAATGAGACTGAAAATAAAATTTCTCTAATTAGATTTCAGACACAAAAGGGAGAATATGAACGTGCATTTTTGTATTAAATAGACTACTCATAAGAATCTTCAATATGTGTACAATGAATATTAACTAGGGGATGAAATGCTTTTATAAGGCTATGGTATTGACATCTATTATATACTTGCTATCAATGGAATTATGGTTTAATGTGAATTGATAAATTAAAAGGCTATTCAAGTTAAATATCAGAAACTTTGGCCTAAATGAATTTGAATCTCTTCTCTGTCTGCTTGGCCCAGTGCACATTGTGTTCTTTTGAATAAATCCAAAAAACTGTTGAGTACGTGAAAGCGACTGTGTCTGATGTTCATCTCTGTCTACGTACAGCTTGTATGTAGTTTAATGTGTACACTGATGTAGACATTAATGATTGATCATGTTCCATATCCTTTATCCAATGTACAGTTTTTCTGAAAACGTTTACAGTATGTATAGATAACCCTAAATGCACAATGGCCAGTCGCTTCAATAGACTAACTTATTCATTGTATTTATTCACCATTTAGTTAAGCATAATGGACATTTTTCCCTCCTGGCGATCGCCCTGTAATCGTTTCCCATGACAAACATGTCACCATTCATAGTGATGTGGCACTGTGCATGATCGTCTATACAAAATGTATTGAAGTCATAAACTGGGATTAGATGGTAAATAGGTATTGGCTGTATAGGTTCATGGACAGGACACACTATATCTACATGTACAGTAGATTGTTGATACATGTAACGTAGCATACTTCCACGCGTGCAAACTGAATTTCAAATTGTAGGTTTTGCGACAAATTGTTTAGGAATATTTGTTCTTAAAGTATTTACATTTACTTACTAAAGAGGATGAGTTTGTTTTGAACACAAAACAGTAATTTGTAATTGAAAACTTATTTTGCACTGTTAATTAATGCGATGTTAATTTGACTGTGTAATTGTGTTTAAATCAAACTTAGCATATAATTGCATTATTCTGATAAGTCTCATTCTGAATATTATCTGGCTAATATTTCGGTGTAACAATGCCATTACGTAACTTTCAAGTACATATAACCGGTGTTATAGCACCAATAAAGAAGTCAAAAACCGGTGTTATAGCACCAATAAAGAAGTCAAAAATAAATGTGAGATGATAATGTAAATTCACAGTAAAAATTTGCTGTTTATTTCGAAGGTTTGTCTGTTTCCTTTTGGGACTAAACATATAACTGTTTATTCAAAATAAAAATAAACTATATGATGGAAAGAATTTTAAATTTGTTTCAATTCTGACTGTATACTGGTAAATTTTCGCCACAGTTTAACATTTGCCTTGTTCGTCCGGCCCACCATAATGAGGACAACAAACATTGGTGAATAATATAATTAAAACAGCAATCAAATGTTAAGGGTGAAACTAGCACTGGGCAAATACAGATTATACCAGTGTTATGGAGCTCGAGGGGAGGGTGAAATTAGCACTGGGCAAATACAGATTATACTAGTGTTATAGAGTGGAGGGGGAAACTAGCACTGGGCAAATTCAGATTTTACCAGTGTTATAGAGTGGAGGGAGAAACTAGCACTGGGCAAATTCAAATTATTCCAGTGTTATAGGGTGGAGGGTGAAACTAGCACTTGGCAGATACAGATTATACCAGTGTTATAGAGTTGAGGGTGAAACTAGCACTGGGCAAATTCAGATTTTACCAGTGTTATAGAGTGGAGGGGGGAATTAGCACTGGGCAAATAAAGATTATATCAGTGTTATAGAGGGGAGGGGGAAATTAGCACTGGGGAAATACAGATTATATCAGTGTTATAGAGTGGAGGGTGAAATTAGCACTGGGCAAATACAGATTATACCAGTGTTATGGAGCTCGAGTGGAGGGTGAAATTAGCACTGGGCAAATACAGATTATACCAGTGTTATAGAGTGGAGGGCGAAATTAGCACTGGGCAAATACAGATTATATCAGTGTTATAGAGTGGAGGGTGAAATTAGCACTGGGCAAATACAGATTATACCAGTGTTATGGAGTGGAGGGTGAAATTAGCACTGGGCAAATTCAGATTATGCCAGTGATATAGAGTGAAGGGTGAAATGAGCACTGGGGAAATACAGATTATACCAGCGAAACCAGGCACCACATCATACAGCATTAAATTGAAAACCTTGTATTTTTTTATTAATCATGCATGCAGCACCGTGCCCCCATTACTGAGTATGAATTACCACTACTGCCTAGATCTATCACTGTGGAATGTTCTACATAAAGTCACACTGTTTATATCAATAAACAGGTGCTTAAAGTTCGGTATTAAATATTAATGTTATGATTTAATTGATTTCAGACACAAAATTACAGATAAAAGAATTGAAGAAAGTCACTGCTTTGAAGATGCTTGCCCTGAAAGTGACGGCTTACCTCAACTGGAATCTGACATTGCTGTCAAAGAGGTGGGCCAGATTTATTTTATTGAACTATATCTTTATATATAAATGTATATAAAAATAATGTGAAACTGATTTGAGGAAGGATATTGGATTGATCTCCTGAGGAAAGAAACAAGAAGAGTTGAATCAGTTTCTATTTAGAGGTGAAATTAAATGAAGAAATTTTAATTGAAGGATCAAAAGGCATTTGAACACATGAACACACTGTATCAGAATGAAGAAATCATGATGTCCTGACATTGTTACAACACATTTAGGACAATAGACATAAAGCCAAAATGTCATTGCTGAAGGTTTGATGATGGTCAGAGAAAACATATTTTTCATGATTATTCTGATATTTATTGGTAGTATTAATCTTTTTTTTTTTCAATTTTATGTTAAAAAATTGAAACTCGGTACACAGATTTCTTTTAGTTTGGCAGATTTAGAACCTTGTTGAAATAAAATCTAGGTTTGTTTTATAAATATCATGTGATATAGAAACACATGAAGGATCTTTTATGTATTATGATTGCCTTTCCATGACCCAGTGTGCCCCTGGTGATGCAACATGCCCTGCTGAATGAGCTGCTGAAGGTCACTCTCCACACGGACGTGGACACGGTCAGCGGGTCTGTGTTGGAGTATGAGGAGATATCTGACCAGGCTGTCTTTGCACTACAGCTGTACTACCGCTGGTGTCTCCTCGCCGTGGTCAAGGACAGCTTTCCTTCACGTCCAGTCAGATCTTTCCTACAGGGGTAAGTTATCTCCCCTTCCCAATATATATGTAGCAATTTAACTTTAGTGTAAGCTATTTCACTTTCTCAATTCATAGTTTAGTCATCGATACACATCAATGTATGTACTTATGTAGAATATTTACCTTAGTGTAAGTTATCTCCCCTTTCCAATACACTATTAAGTGCTCAATACACTACAATGTGTGAATTATCATTATAATGATCTTGTATATATACCAGTAGACTGTTATCTGTGGGAGCTGTTATATGCTATAAACTGTATGCACTTTTGAGATTTGCTATGAAATTAGAAGTAATGAACTGCACTTTTTTTCATTGTTATATATGCTGTATAAATCTGATAAAGGTTTGCAGAAAAATAATCACAACAAACACACACATTATACAGTGTGTCTACAGTTTAATAATGCTTAGTGGTTTTCTTGTACCACATTTCCATGCCTCTTTATTCAAACCAAAATAACAATGTATCTCTTCTGTAATTGTCTACTTGACAGGCAAGGTCAGCCTGACCCTAACATGACCTTGGCAGCAGCCAATGAAAACCTGATACGGACAGTAAGTATAGTAAAAGATGGTCTTGATCAACAGGTTTTACTCTTTCTGTTTATTGTGATCCTAGTAGTTTTAAAACACAACGTTTAGTTGGTGTCATATTGTACTGAGGGGAACACGGAGATAGATTTTATTTTATTCCATATGTTACTACGGGGACAAAAGAGCTAGTTAATGGATGCTATAGGGTGTCGGTAATACTGAAAGAGTAAGGCACATATCATTCAATATCTGATAAATATATCTTCCTATTTCGTCCTATTTCTTCAACTCAAACAAACAAAATGTTTCCTATTTAACATTATGTTACATTCTAATTATGCTTTCATTTTCCATTGATGTACATCCATTTATAAGCTCAACATACAGATGTTTTTACCAGTAGTGTAAAAATCTACAAAAGAAAAATAACATCCTGTTATGGGCATACTTACCTCTCTCCATTGTAGCTAAAGGAGAGGACAGCTGTCTTCGTGGCTAACCTAGAAAAGTGTGTCCATTGTGGGCGCACAATTAAGATGCCAACAGCCAAAAGTTTCCAAATCCCCGACGAACACACAGATGACCCACAGTATGACTGGGACGCATCTCTCCCTATCACACCAGATGAGTATAACTGTCAGGTTGGTTTCTTTTCTGTACTAGTTTATACTTTATAGCTGTAACACATGTATTGAATAAATCATTAAGGATTGATGTATTTGAGAGAGCTGCTCATCGCTCTTCCAGTTTGCAGTAGAAGAATATTAATCCTGTTGAAAATTGACAGTTTTTTTCACTGATAAGAGGTTTACAAATTTAAAAAAAACGTTACCATAGCTAATTACTGGAAAATGATTAAACAAATCCATATCACGTTTATTTTACAAATATTCAAGTTTGTATATTATTTTGTATAAAGTCAATAATAGAAAAAATGGCTGAAGATTCTTGTCTTGTTATAAACACTTATGAAATATGAATGTTGATTGATTTAAAAGCTTACTGGATCTTAATGGCTCTTTCCAATAGAGTAGCATGTTCCCGTTTTGAGGTATGTATTGATCAATGGTATTTGCCATTTTTGGTTTGTTACAGATATTTTATGATTTAGGGAACTTTTACTTCTATGAGAAAGGCTATAGTCATGCATATGTGATGTTCAAGAGATGTACAGAATTATTTGACCACGTGAGTACAATCTGCTTTGCTAATTAATACTGTTCAAATTTCAAAAACATCATGCACATGAAATAAGTGACAAACATATTTATATTTGATTTATAAACTTATCACTGTAATTTCAATGTGAATGGGTTTTCCGTGACTGGTATCTGAATAATATTAACTTATGTATATTTGTTTGCTTAATAGACTATTTTTTCTCCTGGTACAGTTAAAGTCCCCGGTTTACTGTAATATAGATGAGACAAGGTTACGAGGCTATATGACAGGCTGCCACAGTCTAAGGGGCGTGACCGAGAACCAGGAAGTAAAACCAGAAAGTCTGTATGAACAGGCGGAAAACAGCAAGAAAGACCAGTACATGGTGAGGCTAACAATTTATAGAAGAAAAAAAAGAATGTGTATGACCTAGATAGAGTTGATATAATGAAATCTTGTTTTAATATAAAACAAGCCATTCGGATTGATATTTCACACCTGTGCCCCGCTTTGACCATAAATGCACATATCGGAGAAACTAACTTAAACGCAAAAACTTTATGTTGATGGATATGCTGAAAAAGTCAATGGACCATGAACGGTGGGCCATTTGGTGCATGGGTTGAGATGTACTACCTATAAGATGCATGTATGGTCCAAGTTTGGTTGGTCTAGCACTTTCAGTGAAACTAATTTAAACCGGAAAACTAAATGGTTATAACGACGGAAAAGCAACACCTTAGTCTCGCTTCCACTACTTCCTGGCAGTGAGACAAAAAAGATTTGTGGGATAATGCCCAAAAGCAGCCCATAACCTATGTATTTTAGCATCATTGATGTTCTGATGATGGGCTGGGTTATATATCCTAAGCATGTCAACACTAACACTCCTTAATTTTAACGAACGTAGAAATTTATATTTCTGCCTATTTTTCAGCATTGTGGTTAGCAAGTCTGATAATGAATTAATTAGGTTAAATGCTTTGACCTTTCCCAGAAATAGATCAAGATGAAGAAGCAGGGAGGTCTTATGTGTCACACACCCCGCCCCCAGTTAACCACAATTATTTTTACCATTTAAGACTTTCTTACTCATATATCTGGATTTGAGTCCATTAAATTGTTCATACCCACTGTACATAATCGAGTTGGACTTACATTTATGATTTCTCTAAAAACCTTGAAACTTTCAAGACAAGTATGTGCTTTACAGTGTGGACAACATATGAGTTTTATAATTTTGACATGTTTGAAACATAACAGGGTATAGTGGAGATATTGCTGGCAGACAACATGAAGCAAGAACTGAGCACATCCTACCGCAGTGACATTGAGGCAGACATTGCTGACAAGGGCGACAGGTATACCACAATATTTGTTTCAAAATTTAGTTCTGTATCACCCAAAATTTTAAAAAACTGTCCCCTGTGATACATCTTTCTGTCTCCCTGTAAACCTATCCCCTGTGACACATCTGTCTGCCTCACTGTAAACCTATTCCCTGTGACACATCTTTCTGTCTCCCTGTAACCCTATCCCCTGTGACACATCTTTCTGCCGCCCTGTAAACCTATCCCCTGTGACACATATTTCTGTCTCCCTGTAAACCAATCCCCTGTGACACATCTTTCTGCCTCCCTGTAAACCTATCCCCTGTGACACATCCTTCTACCTCCCTTTAAACCTATCCCCTGTGACACATCTTTCTGTCACCCTGTAAGCCTATCCCCTGTGACACATCTTTCTGCCGCCCTGTAAACCTATCCCCTGTGACACATATTTCTGTCTCCCTGTAAACCAATCCCCTGTGACACATCTTTCTGCCTCGCTGTAAACCTATCCCCTGTGACACATCTGTCTGTCTCACTGTAAACCTATTCCCTGTGACACATCTTTCTGTCTCCCTCTAAACCTATCCCCTGTGACACATCTTTCTGCCTCGCTGTAAACCTATCCCCTGTGACACATCTTTATGTCTCCCTGTCAACCTATCCCCTGTGACACATCTTTCTGGCTCCCTTTAAACGTATCCCCTGTGACACATCTGTCTGTCTCTCTGTAAACCTATTCCCTGTGACACATCTTTCTGTCTCCCTCTAAACCTATCCCCTGTGACACATCTTTCTGGCTCCCTTTAAACGTATCCCCTGTGACACATCTGTCTGTCTCTCTGTAAACCTATTCCCTGTGACACATCTTTCTGTCTCCCTTTAATCGTAACCCCTGTGACACATCTGTCTGTCTCACTGTAAACCTATTCCCTGTGACACATCTTTCTGTCTCCCTGTAAACCTATCCCCTGAGACACATCTTGTTGTCTCCCTGGAAACTATCTCCCTGCAACACTCTCTGTCCCCTGTGCTCTATCTTGCTGACCATGGAACTATCCCCTTGCAACCTTGTCCGCTGTGACACATCTTTCTGTCTCCCTGTCAACCTGTCCCCTGTGACACATCTTTCTGTCTCCCTCTAAACCTATCCCCTGTGACACATCTTTCTGGCTCCCTTTAAACGTATCCCCTGTGACACATCTGTCTGTCTCCCTGTAAACCTATCCCCTGTAACACATCTTTATGTCTCCCTGTCAACCTATCCCCTGTGATACATCTTTCTGTCTCCCTGTAAACCTATCCACTGTGACACATCTTTCTGTCTCCCTTTAATCGTAACCCCTGTGACACATCTGTCTGTCTCACTGTAAACCTATTCCCTGTGACACATCTTTCTGTCTCCCTTTAATCGTAACCCCTGTGACACATCTGTCTGTCTCACTGTAAACCTATTCCCTGTGACACATCTTTCTGTCTCCCTGTAAACCTATCCCCTGTGACACATCTTTCTGTCTCCCTTTAAACGTATCCCCTGTGACACATCTGTCTGTCTCACTGTAAACCTATTCCCTGTGACACATCTTTCTGTCTCCCTGTAAACCTATCCCCTGTGACACATCTTGTTGTCTCCCTGGAAACTATCTCCCTGCAACACTCTCTGTCCCCTGTGCTCTATCTTGCTGACCATGGAACTATCCCCTTGCAACCTTGTCCGCTGTGACATGTCTTACTGTCTCCCTGTAACTATCCCCCTAGAAACGTGCCTGTTGTGACATGTCTTACTATCTCACTGTAACACTGTCCCCCAGAGACCTGTCTTACTGCAGCTGTCTCACTGTAACACTGTCCTCCAGAGACCTGTCTTACTATCTCACTGTAACACTGTCCCCCAGAGACCTGTCTTACTGTCTCACTGTAACACTGTCCCCCAGAGACCTGTCTTACTGTTTTCTGTAACTATCTTCGTTGGTGTTCACAGCTCCACCAGCCTGTATGTCCAGGTAGGGATATGTAATGTAGTGAGGGGTGTGATGGAAGGCAAGGCTTTGGTCTCACTACTGGCTGACATTCTGGAGGAGGCAGAGAAGGAGACTGTTAATTTCCTACTTATGGTATGTTAATATAAGGTTAAATGTCATGGAAGGTCAAAGGTCATTGAATGGAAATGAAGGGACATTTTAAGTTTAAAGTTACTGGTACATAAAACTTTTAATCTTCTGAGTAAGTGCACTACTAGTCTACCTGATTATTTTATTTACATACTTTGGACATTTGTCCTAGATAATGCAAAACAAAACTATTTTGAGTATAATGTATGACCTCAAAGGTCATATACAAGAAGGGTGCCGCCCAGTTACCAGTTGATAAAACTGCATGTACATGTAAACTGAGAGTTCATTTTAGGTAGAAATGAGAAAAATGGGTTTTCATTATATAAGATTTAAAAGGATTGATTTCGTGAGATTAAAATCAAACTTTTGTTTTCTTTTCACAGGTGATAACAAAGGCGCTGATGGGGGCTTCCTTTACACAGAAGAATAATCTCAAATGCTTCATATGGTAATACACTTTTATTACACTTATAGATTGCAAAACTTTTACCCTCTTGTCTTTCAAAACAAATTCACCAGAGTTGATTGGTTGTTGAAATTGTATTGCTGTAGGTAATCCACTTCACTCTTTGTTACATCATGTTCTCACTTTTTTTTTTTTTTTTTTTTTTAATAAAACAGGGAATTTAGCTTTTTACAGTATAACCCTGTACGAATGTATCTTGCAATTATGATTGTCTTGTTCATTAAATAAACTACCAGCTGTACATGTATTACAATGATATTAAGGACACAAACCATCTTATATAAATGGAAAATTCATTATTTAATCTGCCCCAATACATGTAAAACAGGTGTATATAGCAACATCAAATGATTTGGTTCCATGACAAGTTGTTATATATTAGGCTTCATCGCCGTAATAAAATCAGATATCTAATATCATATATTTTGAAAATTGTCTGTAGATGATGGGTAAATTCATGAGTGGCAATTGTAGTTTTACGTTAGATTCCCTGAAATATTACATGTATTTACCTATTGTAACATTTGTATAATACAATGTATCATTTATTTTTATAAAACAACCATTTTCTCTATATACAGTCTGCAATTTAGTTTGGCTTGCATTATGGCTTTTAATATGAACTCTTCTTTACATCAGGTTCTTTTGCCAGTTTCCACATAAATCATGAGTACAAATGACATACAAAGGCTTGAAACATTGATGACAAAAAAAACCCAGCAACATTTCTTGTAATGACCTCAGGATTATATTCTCACATTCCTACTTTATTTTCCAGGCATCTTATGGACCTTTCACCTGCAGGGTCAAAGTTCAACACCACAGTGATGAGTGAGCCAATATCAGACAGTTTCACAAAACAGGAGTTGGCAGAGATGAAGCTTTTAGCCGAGGAAGATGGCAGCAGCAGTTACGGTCAAATTATTGACGACGATGTTACTACTGCCTGCTCCAGTAATCCAGGAAGTCGAGGTAAGCTATAAACAGAAAAAAAAAATCTCTATTAAAAAATTTTTTTTTAGAACTATTAAAATAGACACTGGATACCATCCTCTCATAAATGCATTTGATAAGGAAATGTGTGTTGTTAATTTTAGATACTGTCTTGTGCTTTAAATTCATAATAGTCCAGCATCATCATTATCTTGATTTTGTAAACATAAATAGTTATTATGTTAGCACGCTTTCTCTTATATTCTAAACATCGGTGCAAACTTTTTAAGTTACTGGCATTATTATATATAGCTATCTGTGACATGCAAGAATACAATGGTTTTTATATTCTGCAGGCACATGTAGTAGTATTTAGCAATTTTGAATTCAATACCTTGAAGAGTACTTCTACAAATATATATCATTAGCACAAAAATAAGTATGGTAACGGTAACCATTTTCCTTTTTAAGTAGAATCAGTCTGTTCTTTATTACTTTTTCTCCCACAACCACTGTAGGTTTCCTCAGGTTTCCACATTGGATAAACCTGCTAGAAGTTTGTAAACCTTTTCTGGTTACCGACTAGTGAGTAACACCCTGGACGTGATTTCATTGGTCAATTTTTTTACTTATGACATCACGTAACAATGCTTTTTGACATCATTTTCCATTGTGACGTCATGTTCCATGGCAATTGTTTCCCCCATTGGAAAACCACATGAAATATTTTCCAAGGGGAAAATGTGGGATTTCAGATAAAATAAGAACGTTATGAGAGGAACAGGTCCCCAAACTCGTGATGATTAGTTATCACGCTTATCTAACTCTCGTTAGTTAATTTTCAAATTGTAAAAGACAATCGGTAAACCTCGTGTCTTTATACAATTTGAATATTAACTAACTCAAGTTAGAATAACATGATAACCAACCATCACTCGTTGGGGAACCTCTATATCTGAACTTACATGTATAGGCCTATTCATATATTAGAACACTAATCCTTTCTTTCATTAACCCTGTCACCCCTGTGTAACTTAAGTAGACTCTACTACGCATTGATCTGGATGAGTCCATTATGGTCTACAGTGGTGAAAAGGGTTAAGTGTACTTCTGAAAACTTGTAGTACTCTAGTTACCGCTGTATATATATCGGTGTATCAGCTATAACACAAAATGCTTTAAAACAAGGTTACTACTAAGTAATTATGTTTAAGGTATTGTAATAAGATTAGTCTAAACACTGTGTGCCGTTAGTAGATAGACTTAATATTAAAATTGGTGGTGGAGGTATACAATTTTGAAATGTCAATAAAATACATGAAAGTTATTTCTGGATATTGCTGTATGGGAGAAATGGGAGGCAGTTTGAATTAAACTTATGGCAGATATATCAATATTACATCACTTCACTTTTAAAAATTGAATGGGTGAGGAGATCACGGACACATAATATCACTTTTCATTTGTCAGAGATATGTACCTGCCATTCTCCCTGCAATCTGAAATAACCCTATTTGTGTAAAAAATGTTTTTGATAAATACTCGATATCATCATGACCAACTATATTGTATACTCTATCACAGTATATAGGTATAGATAAATTCTGAAAGCACATAGACTTAGAAGTTGTGAAACAGATGAAAAGTAGAAAGCGTTTAATTACTAATTTTAAACTTTATATCAGAATGCCCTTATTCCGTCTTTTTGTATTGCAGAGTTATCTGCTCTTGTGAGCAGGTATTGATTGTTAAGTCATTGGTTTGTGTTAGAAAATTACGTCGTTTTTTCAAAAATTGATGGCGTTAACGTTACTCTCACAAACAAATGACGTAACAATCAATACCTGCTCACAAGAGAAGATAACTCTGCAATACGGAAAGACGGAATAACATTGAAACATGGTTAAATATTTAAAATGTTTAGTATCATGTTAAACTAAAGTTAATGTTAACAATTACACACTGGTTGACATAATGTGATGGTACCCTATAATTAGATATGTACAGAGTGGATAGCTTTTACACTCAAAAGTACCTTAGTTTGAAGGGTACATAGTTCATGTTTCAAAATAACTAACCCAGAAACTAAAGTGATTCTTTTACATTGTTAAAATGTAGCAAAGACTAGGCCTCCTATAGTTGTTCAGAGGAGAGTACTTAGACCCTAGAAAGAGTTTTAATCATACAAATCCCAAACACCATTTAACATTTTAAGTTGCCAGCAAGTTAAAGATGTGTTCATTTGAAACATGTAATATTCATTGTTTAATATATTTATTTTTTAAATCTGGAATCATTTTTAAACAACATTTAGTATCAATTTCATCATTTAATTAAAAAGAAAATTGTTTTCAGATAATAGTTGCTTCTGTTTCTTTTAATCTTGAATAATTTACAAGTACATTTTGTTATTTACTGTAATTCATATTTTTTTTTAGTGTTGAACAGTGTTTATTATAATATTCTCCAGCACTCTTTGTTGTTGTATTAATCTTTATTCTTACATCTAATACATGTGCCATACGGCCCAGAGAACTAAAGGAATTCTCACTAAACCTTAACACTTTGTGCCTATTCAGGTGTTTCTTTCTTATCAGAGGGGACCGGTAAGTGTGTTATTGTATGTTCAACATGCCGTCCTAGCTAGTCCCTAACAGCCCTAACCGTCCTAACTCTCAAATATTAGCATGGTGTGGAGAAAACATTACAACGATGTCTGTGTCACTAATTATATCGCTCAACAGTTCTTATTTGAAATCAGATTTGTTGTTGATTATTGTATAAATATATATATATATGGTAATACCTAAACAAGATTTGTTACTGGGATTATTAAGGTAAATTTTAATATCCACGCCCAATGAAAGGCACCTTATTTGTCAGAGCATCACCAAGTGAAGTTTGACACAAGCTGTGTATGAAACACTCGTCTTCACTGACTATATTATTTTTGTCTTGCATGTGAGAAGAATAATTTAACGACAGTAGCCCGTATCCTTCAGAGGTCATTGCTAGCAGATTTTAGATGACAAAATGTGCTGTAACGTACGCTTGTGTGCAGATATCATAGATAGTTTTATGCATTACACAATACTGAGCTTGGGGAGTAGTCGCTTGTTTCTTTGTTTGAGTGGTTTTATGTCGCATCACTACTGAGTAGTTTGGTTATCCAGCAGATGATGCTAGGGGAGTAACAGATCTATATCTATATATATACACACATATAACAATTGAAGAGAATTTAGGAATATCTCTGTGGGTTAAATTTTGAAAAAAATCTTTCCTGACTGACATGCTGTTATCAAATTATCGCAGTAGAGATGCTGGTATATTTGATGTAACTCTCATTTTGCATAATTTGGTAGCCTAAAGAAGGGAACATAAACCAGGCAAAATTGTTTTCAGGTTGATAGACAATTAGGACTCTTGACTCAACAATTAAAAACTATAGCATAAACTTTTAAATTCTAGTTTGACCTCCTGAAATCAAGGGACTATACTGTCTAAAGTGTCTAAATTTCTTGTTTAAAGTCTTAATGTATTTTATTACAGTATCTGTATATTAATGCCTGTCTTCAAGACTGGAAAATATTTCTATCTTGTCAAAGCTGACATCATATACCTATAACTGCAAAACCTACAAGCTTTATGTTTCCTGGTTGAGGACATAATGATGCCTATCTCTGATTATGCTGCATGTGACTAATCAATGAATACTTCGTACTGAAGGGAATATATGGGGCAGTGATTTAAATTGTCGATATTCATATACAACTTTGCTTTTACTTATTAGCAGGGCATAGATGAAAATGAGGAAAAAAAATGAATGTAAAATGTGTTTGAGTTGTTAAATGTTTGCCGTCCCAGTAGTGGGCACTTTATAGTGATTAGATATAAGCAACTTACATCAGTAGGACCAAAACTCTGAGTCAATCCCCAGCTCATGAACTCGCTATTAGTTTCCCATTAAACTGAACATCAGCTGACTTCCAAACAAGCTCGCCTTAACAAAGACTCAAAGTATTGGCAGTGTTTTGGCTGTCTCTTGGACTTGGTTTTTATGAATGAATATTTGAAAGAATTTTACAAGACCCATACTTACATCATTTTACAAATCTTGTCCAGTCATTCCAGGGAAGACTTCAGACTGTTAATCTAGGTCGAATTTTACCATTTTACTCTGTTTGCAATTACCAACGAGAAGTCATCCAAGCATTGGTTTACTGCTAGTTCATCTGTGTATATGGTGTATACATGTTTACATCTTATAGTACATGTAGTAGGTTTTCCTCAAATGGAGTCAGAAGTTTTATTAGATTTTGTAAGTTTTATATGTTTTGTCAGGATAGCTAAGCCATAGTACAGTATAGTAGAATATAGTGTGATATTTGAAATTCTGTGTGTGAGAAAAGTGAAATAGACAGCAGTACATGTCAGTTCTTAAGATAGGGGTGTGAAACAAGTGTCGTGGTTTTGCTGTATACTGGTAGTAAACTCAGCTTGAAAATCCAAGGGTTATGTTCTTGATAAATCTTCTCTACACCCAGGGATTTTCTCAGGACAGCATCAAAGTGCCTATATACGTATACCACCATGCAGGTGATTCAAATCGACCAGGTAGTCTGGATACTGTGACAGAATCCATTATAACTGGGATCAAAGTGTAATGCTATGATTAATGATAAAAGTTAACCATGCTGCAGCACAAGGTAAAATTAACCAGCATTTTTTTTTTATCTTAAAGTACCTATTTGATACTCTTTAAAATACAGATACCATTGTCTGTCAGCTGCCTTGCGCTTGGTCAGGTTTTGATGTTTTGAACCAACCATGAGCCTTTGATTCCGTCATGAGAAAATCCAAGATTGCAGATCTAGAGAAGATATGTATAATGAGAATGTAATCCTAGAATTCAGATGTGATCAACTTTGTTGTTGTGCAACCCAGCATTGTTTTATAGACAGTACATGTATATAGCTATGGAATATCCATTTATGCATATATATACAGATTTATTTCCCCTTTTGTAAAAGTTTGTTAAAGCAGACTCTCTTTCCCTGTATACATGTCTGGTAAGGAAGAGTTACTTCCCCTGGATTATTGTATACACGTTTATGACTAGCTAAGACCACATCATATGATAATCTTAAGATAACGTAGAATACATAATGTATTACATGGATGAGAATGATACCTGGAGCTACAACTTGTCTGATTTATACTTTAATGTGACTTTAAACATGGTAAATTGTTTCAACCTTACAACTTGATTAAAAATAGATCTTCAGGTCTGGTTAAACAATGAACATTTTGAGTGATAAATCCTAACATACATTTTAATGTTAAAGCAGGCTTTGAAAGATCAACAACAACTTGGGTCAACTATACCAATAACACTTGCGTCAACTATACCAATAACACTTGCGTCAACTATACCAATAACACTTGGATCAACTATACCAATAACACTTGGATCAACTAAATCAATAACATAAAAGGAATAATTTAACTGTTGGACATACATTTTTATTTTTTAATTATTTTTTACACAAAAGCACACCCTTTTATCATTGCTTCACATATCCTTGTACTATCATGCATGTATGGTGGTGGAATATAACTACCTAGTGTTACACTGGAGCTTCTTTAAAAAGGTGATCTACCTGGTATCCTGCATATTACAACCTTGGAGCAAAGAATTACAGGATGGTACTGGAGCCACTGTATTTGGCTTTGTGTATTGTATATATGCAACATTGGAGTGTTGACGAGTGAACAATTATCATTGTTACTTTTCCTGAACTTTTATAATAATGATACAAAATCAGAACTAATCACAAGTTAATTTTGTGAATAAATAATGATGTATAGATCGTGCTGTTTAATGAAATGTTGAAACTATATGAACTATTCTTAATAACCACAGACAACAGTTCATTAATTCTCTAGATTACTACCTCTTGTGCTAAAAACAGCCTAATTGCTTGATGGTGTAATTTACACATGCATACTTTCTAACTTAAGTTGTAGGAAATACTGTGAATCACTCCATCAACCCAGTATTTATGTTGTTGCTATATAATCCCTATATATCAATGAAGAAAATATTGTAGGGGACTTAACTACTTCAAAAACATGTATTGTATTCCTTATGATAGTTATATTGTTACCAACTGCTTTGAAAACAACTTTGAAAAGTCTAGTGCTATCCCTGAGCAACGTCCTTGTCTCATATAACTACATAAATGTATAAAAAAAATCATCCTTTGAAAAGAAAAGTTGACTTAGAATTGAAGGCTTAAATTAACAAGAAATAATAAACGAGAATTTTTTTTTTTTTTTTTTTTTTTAATTAAAGGGGAAAAAAAAAAAAAAAAATTTTTTTTTTTTTTTTTTTTTTTAATTAAAGGTGAAATAACAAAGAAAAAATGGCTACCACTTTATTAATTCTAGTCTTTAAAATTTACATTGGTAAATCTGTATTTTGTGAAATATACTGTTAGAGGATATTTTGTCTCCTATCACATCGCAGGTATTGTCTTTGTAGATTCATCAGTGAGTTTAGGTAATGCAGAACACCAGTTGATGTATATCTATGACCCGGACATCATGCGTCGCCTCGTCGTGGAGCTCTGTCAGAAGTACAACCGATCACCTGCATACGTCATGTCCCTGAATGAGAAGTGGAAGGTCCCACGCGACATGCACCACATCATCATGAACCTCCAAGCCAGTGACAACCAGGCCTATGTTTACCTCCTAATCGGCAAGGCCAATCACTGCATGGATGTTCGGGTTGGTTATTGCCATAATTCAAAACTTAGTAGGGCTGCAAAGATATGCATACCTCACGGTACGATGCTTACAATATGAAACGTATCTCGATACAAATATCTGCTTAAAAGGTCAATTTCATAATGATTGAGTGCAGGATTTTATTGAGTTTTGTCATAGATTTCAATAGTAGACTGCACTTTCGAAATATATTTTTATATAATTTCTAGTACTTTTGATTATGACTACACAGTAGACCACATCTTTACTGAAGGATTAAAAAAAACTTTAAGTACATATTTTTAGAGCTCGATAAAAAATCAATTGATAATTTAAATACTGTTTGTGTATCGCTATACAGGTAAACAAAACAATTTGATTCGTATTGCGCTACGATACAATACGATATATCGTTGCAGCCTTAAAACTTAGACCTATGTATTTTAAATCATTATTTTCACCTGTATGATTTATATCATATACAACTTTGACACGAATTAATTGGATTAAACTAAATTATATAAGTTGAGGTGAACCCATTCAAATATGTGTTTTCCTTTTCAAGTCTAAAAATAGGGCCAGTATGTAGGTTATATATTTTGACAATACATTTTTTTTATATAGACTGAGAGATCACATGGCTTTATCAATGCCCATACAGAAACTGTTGAAAAAAGGTCAGAGTAGGACAACAAAATGGGGGCAGTGACATACAGGAAACACTGGTTTTTGACCTGATCAAGAAGAGGGGGGGGGGGGGGGGGGGGGTGTCTCTTACTGTGGGAGGAAACTGGAGTACCCGGAGAAAACCCACGTGGTCGGGCAGGTGATCACCCCATACCTTTTCACGTCCAATTGGGGAATTGAACCCTGGCCGCCTTGGTGAAAGACAAGTGCGCTATCCACTGTGCCACCCGACCACCCTGAATACATGTATTGATTATATGTAGTGATTTCTCTTTGTCAAAAATGAAGTGTTGTTGGCAGTTAAAATTAGTTACAAAGTCATATTTTCTTAAAATAATACAATTGATATCTTGCTGGATAAATTGTTCCTCAGCGAGATTTGATTTTGATAAGCAGCTTTTGAAAAACAAAAAAGCACAAAATTAGACATAGCATATGGTGATCTGTGATCACAAGGAAAGAATAAGTTGATACATATAACACACAAACCTACAATGTGTATATAATTTCCAGATCTATGACCGAGCTCGACAACTGCTGTATGTTGCTGACCGTGTTGTGGCAGAAATGTCCTACACGCTCTCCAAGCATGTTCGTTGGCACATCCTGCTAGCCGATCTTCAGCAGTACTTCCTGTCAGAGACTCTAGCTGAGCAAACTTCACTGAATGATCTGGTCAAGAAAACCAAGACATGCATCACCTGTGTACGACTTGGTCAGGGTAAGCTTGTTGTTTAAGAAATGATCAACATAGATGTGTGTATTATAGTAGAATATTCAAGCAAGGTGAGAAAATAAGCGAGAAAAAGTAAACGAAAGCTGCCTTTAATTATGTGATCAGCAGTGATGGTTCCGCAAGTCACTTTGTATAATCCTGTTTATCTATTAAAATGTGAGTTTGTTTGGAGATAATTTCTAAATTCTATCTAAAATCATTAGGGAGCATTGAAATTACATGAGTTAGTATTTATTTAGTTCCCCCTGACCATAACCTCACTGAGAGATTGAAAGGGATAATGAGCCCTGTGGTTGTCAATGCCTATTACATTCCTTCTAGTAATTTCAATTTTGTATTTACCTGGGTTTGTTTCTTTCCCATCCACAATGCTGTCAAGGTGTACTGTCAAAATCTGTTGTTGTAGATAGGAAGTCCAGCACAAATAATCATGTTCATCATAGTATATATGGTATCGTGTTTGATGACATCTGTTTATTGTTTACAGACGTACAGCCTAGTCGGATTGTGTTAGAGCACTGTGCAGCTTTCCTACTAAACATCCGTGACTGGCACTACCTCGCCAACATGGATAACTCTGGCTGTGGTCACATCGAGGTGAGCTCATAGCTCAAGTATCTGTAGATTTGGTTTCAACAGGAAAATCAACTTAGTAATAACTTTAAGAAATAAACATTTAATTAAAAGTCTGTATGAAGAGATCATTTTATTATTGCCAGTTATAAATAATACTGTACACAGCTTTGATTTTGAAAAGTGTGAATTCTTTTTTATCACGAAATATGTTATTTAGTGTTGACCCTGCAGTTTTAAGATTGTAGGATATGTATACATAACTAGAAATATTTACTATTGTACAGTATATGTTGAATTCTCGGCTGCACCTCATCACAAACATTTGGGGGGGAAAAATCAGCATACACGTCGTATGTTTAATCATTCATATTCTAATATGAAATAATATCAAAACTATAAAATATGTGTATTAAATCATAAATATTATCAAAATAGATATATTATCTTGATATATCTGTCATTAATATCCACTTGTAATTGCAATTTTCAGCTATGTCGTCTATTTTCCTGTGTTTGTAAAGAACTGCCGTCCATAAAAAATGCCAGAAAACCAGGGAGAGATTTATGGGAAGCACGTAAGTAAGAGTTAAAACGAAGCAGCAACTTTTTGTATCCCATGAAATTAAAAATTATGTTATTTCTGATGCTTGTGTCAATGGTCTTATTGGTAGCTGTAAACATTATAAACATTATCATATTTATAGTTATTTCTTACAATAAAGATTGATTATCGATCTGTAAGTGAATATAAGAAAGATATATATACCATTATTCTTCTCCCGATTTGCAAATATATATCGCAATAAGGCCGTCGTTGTTCTGTATCAATGACTTGACTGTTTGCTGTGAGTTTTGCCGATGTCAATTATTTAGCGACTATAATTTCATGTAATTCAAACAGGATTTACAATATTTATTTGTTCGAACTGACTGAAGGTTTACCGTATGTATCTATAAATGCTGTAAGTTTTATCAGTTCAAGATCAAGGGTTCCTGCTTTTTGATAATTTCATATAGGGTGAAGTAACATCCCAGGTTTGACCTGATGACACTTTTGGATGTCACACTTGCATTGACTATTTCTCACCACATCACACTTTTTAAGTTATAAGGCATCAATATTGTACTTATGAATAAACTCTATATTTAATGGAAACGTTTGAACATCCTCTGTTTAAACAAAGAAAATCGTAAACACAGCATATTTTTCATTTGGCTAGAACTGTTGTTTACATTTTTCTGAAAACTGTTACCAGGTATATCTTTTAAATTTCTGTGACATATTCAACTATAATGAAAACCAGTTCCAGTTAGAAAGGTGGAATTGATGGTAGATTTTGTACTATAATAGATACATATTTTATATGCAGTGAGACATATATTCACAACAAGTACTCAACAAAACCGAGGGAACAGTGCTGCGAGGAACAGCGCCATACACAGAGAGGCAAACTACGCCTGTGTCACCAAGGACGCCTTCATAGAATTCCTCAAAAAGATCAAGGTAGGTCAAAACTTGTCGATGTGTGGACCATGAACATTTTTAGATTAATGGGGAATTCAAATTAACAGAGCTGAAATAAAATGTAACAGAATAACTTGAAATCCATGTCAGCGACCAGAAAATAATGAACAGAAAATAAAACTGGAAATTTGAGAGATCGAAGTTTAAATCTATGCTGTATACTGTTTAAAATATAAGAATGTATGTATTGTGTGAAAAATTGTTTTTGAAATAATTGAACAAGATTGTAAATAATACTGGTATGAACAGGTGTTCGTTAGCATTCATCCATATTAACAGTGTTTGTGATAGCTATATTGATACATTTGTATTGCTGTTCAGGAGCCAAGCGTTCTGTCTGTGCTGATATCTGTTATAACAAAGTACTACAACATATTGAGGGTGAGTAAATGTCATGTGAATCTCCCTCACTTTCCTAGATATCTATATGTACAGTTACACCTTACTCACCAAGATACCTTGGATTCAGAATTTAGAAATATAAGGTGTTTTTAATTGATTAAACAGGAATTGCACCTGAAAATTATTTTAAGTGTCGGGATAAGATTTCTTCATGATCAGAATCATATAGATTTCTCATTCTACCTGTGGGACTGCAACAATGTGCATTTGCAAACCAATGTGTTGCAGTTCCACAATAAATTGCAAGGGTCAATTATAAATGTTCTACTGTGATATTATGCATGTGTATACAATCATTAAGTGCCTTAGGTTTTTGCTTCAGTCTGAATAATTGTTGTCTCACTGTTATTCTGTTTTCCTGTTTTCATTTCCAGGATGATATATCTTGTGAAATTTCTAGTGACTACATAGCCCTATGGCCTACTACATTGAGCAAGTAAGTTATTATCAAGATATTGAGTTTGTGTAATGAATTTTAAATCCTTTAACAGGATTACTATTTCACAGGCGTGAATGGAATTATGTCTTTTTCTGATTTGACCTCTATATAGAATGGCCAGTCAAGATTGGCCTCTAGTGATTTTGCTTTACTACTGAATTAAATTGGTGGTGAACTGCTTGCTACAAAACAAATAAAAAATCTTATGAAAATGTATCAGTTCTCTTTTGAGTTTTAAAATAGCGTTGTGTTGTTACACAATGTGTCATTTTGGATTAAAAGTAAAGTGTTACTTACATAAACTAGCAACAAACAAACACAAAACCTGAATTAAAGCTGTTATTGATATGAATGTTCCTTTTAGAAGCTCTCTGATTGTGAGGTGGAATTGGAAAGCCTGTGCACGGGTGCACATTCAGTTTTAAACATGTTTATTATTTATCTACTTAACAAACCAGTTCCTCGTTGATCAATGGTGAAGCAGTGGAAGAAGCCCTGTCAGTATTAATGCAGCATGTCCTCCGTGTGAACCCGGCCCAACCCTCCTGGCTCCGAACCCAGGCTGACATACACTTCGGTAGGTACAGTACCAGTCCTGTCTGTATTAATGCAGCATGTCCTCCGTGTGAACCCGGCCCAACCCTCCTGGCTCAGTACCCAGGCTGACATACACTTCGGTAGGTACAGTACCAGTCCTGTCTGTATTAATGCAGCATGTCCTCTGTGTGAACCCGGCCCAACCCTCCTGGCTCCGTACCCAGGCTGACATACACTTCAGTAGGTACAGTACCAGTCCTGGATGGACAGAAAGTCTTAGGGTATTCAGAAGTATTTGAATGATGGTGTAGGCTGAGAGGCATGGATGGAAAAGTCTGTTAGAACTCTAACTAGTGGTGTCTTAAAATAATTGTTTAGATAGTGTTTACCTCATAGCAGCTGCAGTTTAACTATTTCATTTGTGCCAAATTTATTGTTATATGCAAACATGTATTTGGAATAAACAGAAATTGATGAGGGGTATTTTCCAGTACCCTGTCCTTTCTTAATGTGGTATTGATAATAAGTACATTGCATTTCAAATATTGTCAAAATTGTTTTACAGAAGACCGAACAAATCTGTAACAGTTGAATGATTAATCATTGAAGGTACTGAATTTGTTTTGTTTGTGTTTCAGCCAACAACCAGTTCTCTCCTGCTATGAAGTATTATATGGAGGCTGGTGTGGTGGCCTCAGACTTCTTCTCTAGTGCTGTACCCAAAAGTATATATGAGGACCAGGTATATATTACAAGTCATGTCAGTGATTGTGGAATTACCTCACCTTGTATAAATTCATGTACAAATTGACTTAGGGGGACATTTTCAACAGCGATATGATATGTTTTGTTTATAAAACAAACAAACAAACAAACAAGCATACTAAGTTCTTCCATATACATGCTGCTGATAGAGAAACTTACATACTGTACCATACTCGCTTCTCCCATACACCTGTCTCGGACAGTGGGATTTACATTATTGATCCTGCCCACTATTCTCACACACATCAATGACAGGAGTATTTATACTATAAACTCTAAATACGCCCATTTTCCTTTTTTCTTAACAATTCCTTTGCTTAACCCTTAATGTATTGCCAAACCCATTGATAATGTATGTTTTACTGAACAAATGGAGGCAAAACAACAAGAAATTGCAGTATCAAGAAAGATTAGAAGTCAGTGATACCTTGATAATTATTTAATTACAGGTCTACAGGAGGATGGTCAAGTGTTGTACCTATCTCCAGTGTCATACTCAGGTAAAGTACACGTCCAGTCCAGCTGTCCACACAGTCAAACACTGAACCCTTTCAGTGGATACTTTTTTTATCGGCTCCTCTATTAGACCTTATGGTTTATTAAAACTGTTGCCCTAATTAATTCTGGCCCTGATTTTTAAAAGAAAACTCCCTTAGAATCAAACCTAAATCTTAGCTTCAGTAGGAACTACAGTAAGTAACTTAACTAATGGTCATTATCTTGTAGTTAAGGATATATGCTACCTAACTAAAATACCCACCTTTCTTTCCCAAAGAGTTTTTCTCTGATAACTCAGGAAAGTATCTGTTCTGAATAGTTAAATGAGCCTAGGTAATTAATCAATATCACATTAAACAGATGTATTACATAGGATCAAATGCATGCATTTATTTGCAGAAAGGAGGATTACTGATTTAATTAATCATTGGTATATTAATTTACGGTAGCATATATCCTTAGATGTATACATAGACCTTTGATAATTTGTAGGTGGCAGTGCTGTGTCAGTTCCTGGACGAGGTGGACTACACCACAGCGTTTAAGGGACTCCAGGAAAAGAATGTGTATGACGCGATGGACTCCTACTACCCCTGTGTCTGGGATATCAGCATTCTCGAGTTTCTTGTCCGTATCCTTTCATATCTTAAGTAAACATAAACTTTGACCTTTATTAGAAATATGGTGACCCTTTTCCTGTGGTTGATGTAAGTTACCTTGTGACTTTGTTTCAAAATTCTGTGACCTGATTCAATTATTGTTGTATCTGTTCTGTGGTCTGATTACCTATGCTGAGTTTATTGTGACCTTTTAACAACTTTCAAATCTGACTTCTATGACATTTTGATCTCTACTGGTATGTTGTGTCACCTTGACTCCTCCTAGATCTACACACAAGAAGGGGAGAGGTAGAGAAGAGACAGGCAGCTGTATGTACCAACTTCTCTGTTATTATGCATTAAATATGAAAAATAACAATACAATTCCATCTTTGCGTATTGCAGAGTTATCTTCTCTTGTGAGCAGGTATTGATTGTTACGTCATTGGTTTGTGAGAGAAAAGTCATCAATTTTTGAGAAAACAACGTAATTTTCTCACACAAACCAATGACGTTACAATCAATACCTGTTCACAAGAGAAGATAACTCTACAATACGAAAAGACAGAATATATGGAGCAATCTCATTGTGGTACAATATTCATCAAATGCCACCATGATAAGTATGAGACTTAATACCAGGACTATGAGGCTTGTTAGTGTTCCTTCACTGATGGAATTGATAGACAAATTTTGATACTGGAAAATAGCTTTAAATCTTTTTATTCTTCAGGCAAAATGTAATTATAGAAGTTAAAGGGCAGTAACTCTGTTTTCCTTTCCTACAAATCTCTTAGTAATTTCAAGTTTCCATTAAATTTTCATTTCTGTTTTAGATGAAGGCACTCAGCCAGATAGACTTGAACAGCAACAACCCGGAGGATATTGTACAGAGGGCTGTACAGATGAGGAAACGCAAATTCCTTCGTTCCCTGGCCAAACAGTATCTCTGATGTTAATCATCACAATAGCAAGATATATGACAGTGCTCACCATAAACAGTGCATGATCTCAAAGAAAACAAGAAATAAAGACTAAAAGCAGGGAAGTTTTCAGAGAAGTTGTAACTGTATCAGCAAAATCTCAGCTCATCACATTAAAATACCATATGTATACTAATTGTAGTGAACAGGACAGATTCATTTATATTTCTGTATATCCAGGTTTTCCAAATTATCTGTATAGGTCCACTGTAGTTTCACTGTAAGGACTACAGAACGAATTATCTTCTGACTAACCTGTCGGACACATTCATATGTCATATATCATGTTCGTTTATCTATTGACTATTATTCTAACAGGTTGTGTCACTCACCAACATTCTTGCATTAATCAGAATCCAGAAAATGTAAATACACAATTCTAATTGTATAAGTCAGTCATCACATGTGAAGTTGTGTTTCAGCCACAACTGAAGACAGATGAAAACGGAATCTTGTAGAATTCTTCCTGGTTTGTGGTATAAAAAAAAGCCAAAAAGTGCTACCTTTTTAACTGCTGTTTGTGTCAGTTTTGCTAGTCCCATGGTTTTCTTGTGCCAGTGTTAACTGGAACATTGTTTTTTTCTGGATACTAATGGTACAGAAAACACTATGTCTGGAACTAAACTGTGTTGCTGTTCCATCTACTTGGAAGGTTTTTTTGTTGGGACAAACAAGGTTTCACTTTATATTTATCTTTGGACACCCAGCATTTTCCATTTAGGTTTCGTAAATTTTTATCTGTTGTACGCAAAATGTTATTTATAACGCACATAATTAAAAAATAATCAAAATCTGGTCACTGCTGACTCCAGCCAAACGGTCAAGAACTCCATTCTCAATCTGCATTAAGAGTTTTCCCGTGTCTGGATGACTTTTTTAAGATTAAGAAATGGTGTATAAGCTTATTAAGTGTCTAACCAAATTGATGTCGTACTTACCACGTCCAATCAGGTTTGTGTATGAATCTCAATGCCTGGAGCTGATGTTTCTCTATATAGCATAGTGCTTTTTGCTGTTCATTTATTTCATTCAAGTGCAGATTCACTGCTACGTGTCTATGAAATACTGTCCCTGGCAAAAGACTTCATAAAGAGTGCAAATTGTTATAGCCGCAACAAAAGTCATTCATAAAGTTGTGAGAATTAATGCAAACAAAGGAAATCTCCCTGATTTCGAGATGGAAATAAAAGTGATTCTGACAGCATGATATTAACAATGTCCACGAATTCAAGTTGATGTGACACATAATTTAACAGAAATAACAGAATTTCTACTGTGGAAAGTAAGTCTATTCACAAGAGTTCAGATGTATGTAACAGTCGCATTACTTTTTGAACTACAATATATATTTTAGGATAAGTTAAATATATAATTTTTCGTTTTAACTAAATCTTCTTTCTAATAATATACATGACAAGGGTAGTAGGATGAGGCAAATATCAAAACTATTGTTGCATTTCTGTGTCATATATCGTCAAGTTTTACATTTACTACATCGTGTTCATCCAATTACTGTCTGTAAATAGTGATTAAAACCATCACTTTTTACCAGTATGAAGATAATTGTTAAGTTTGACGACACCATAAGTTGTTATTTTTGATATTTCTTTAAAGTAATTCAGAGTAAAAAATGACTTATATGGTATTTGATTGTATATATAAATATTGTTTTGTATGGTGTTTTTTTCAGGACGGAAAATAAATACTCTTTTGATGTATCTGTTTGAAACGTTTCTCTTTTCATCAATATAACTTCTTTCTAAGAAATACAGAATCACGGTTATAGAAACAGTGACACTGACAACAGGAGGTGCCATAAATATTCGAAATAAGGTTACAAATTCACAAATGTATGATAAGGTTACAAATTCACAAATGTATGATATAAGATTAAAAAAAAATCACAAATATATGAAATATGGTTACGAATTCACAAATGTATGACAAGGTTACGAATTCACAAATGTATGAAATAAGGTTAGAAATTCAAAATGTATGATAAGGTTACGAATTCACAAATGTATGAAATAAGATAACAAATTAACAAACGTATGATAAGGTTACGAATTCACAAATGTGTGAAATAAGGTTGCGAATTCACAAATGTATGAAATAAAATAAATTCACAAATGTATGAAATAAGGTTATGCATTCACAAATGTATGAAATAAGGCTACGAATTCACAAATGTATGCAATAAGATAACAAATTCACAAATGTGTGATAAGGTTACAAATTCACAAATGTATGAAATAAGGTTATGCATTCACAAATGTTTGAAATAAGGCTACGAATTCACAAATGTATGAAATAAGATAACAAATTCACAAATGTAGGATAAGGTTACAAATTCACAAATGTATGATATAAGATAAAAAAAATCACAAATATATGAAATAAGGTTACGAATTCACAAATGTATGAAATAAGGTTAGAAATTCAAAAGGTATGATAAGGTTACGAATTCACAAGTGTATGAAATAAGATAACAAATTAACAAACGTATGACAAGGTTACGAATTCACAAGTGTATGAAATAAGGTTACAAATTCAAAATGTGTAAGGTTACGAATTCACAAATGTATGAAATAAGGTTGCGAATTCACAAATGTATGAAATAAAATAAATTCACAAATGCATGAAATAAGGTTATGCATTCACAAATGTATGAAATAAGGTTACGAATTCACAAATGTATGCAATAAGATAACAAATTCACAAATGTATGATAAGGTATGTATGATAATTCACAAATGTATGAAATAAGGTTATGTATTCACAAATGTATGAAATAAGGCTACGAATTCACAAATGTATGAAATAAGATAAAAAATTCACAAATATATGAAATAAGGTTACGAATTCACAAATGTATGAAATAAGATAACAAATTAACAAATGTATGCCAAGGTTACGAATTCACAAATGTATGACATAAGGTTAGAAATTCAAAATGTATGATAAGGTTAAGAATTCACAAATGTATGTTAATAAAATAACAAATTAAAATATGTATGAAAAAGGATTGCGAATTCACAAATGTGTGAAATAAAATAAATTCACAAATGTATGAAAGAAGGTTAAGCATTCACAAACGTATGAAATAAGATAACAAATTAACAAATGTAAGACAAGGTTACGATTTCACAACTGTATGAAATAAGGTTAGAAATTCAAATTGCATGAAAAGGTTACGAATTCACAAATGTATATTAATAAAATAACAAATTAAAATATGTATGAAAAAAAATTGCGAATTCACAAATGTGTGAAATAAAATAAATTCACAAATGTATGAAAGAAGGTTAAGCATTCACAAATGTATGAAATAATATAACACATTCACTAATGTAAGAAGAAAAAAATGCGAATTCACAAATGTAGTAAATAAGGTTATGTATTCATAAATGCATGAAATATGGTTAGGAATTCACAAATGTATGAACTAAGGTTACGAATTCATAAATGTATGAAATAAGGTTACGAATTCACAAATGTATGAAATAAGGCTACGAATTCACAAATATAAGGTTGCGAATTCACAAATGTATGAAATAAAATAAATTCACAAATGAATGAAATAAGGTTATGCATTCACAAATGTATGAAATAAGGCTACGAATTCAAAAATGTATGGAATAAGATAACAAATTCACAAACGTATGAACTAAGGTTACGAATTCATAAATGTATGAAATAAGGTTACGAATTCACAAATGTATGAAATAAGGCTACGAATTCACAAATGTATGGAATAAGATAACAAATTCACAAATGTATGATAAGGTTACAAATTCACAAATGTATGACATAAGGTTAGAAATTCAAAATGTATGAAATAAGATAACAAATTAACAAATGTAAGACAAGGTTACGATTTCACAACTATGAAATAAGGTTAGAAATTCAAATTGCATGAAAAGGTTACGAATTCACAAATGTGTATTAATAAAATAACAAATTAAAATATGTATGGAAAAAAATTGCGAATTCACAAATGTGTGAAATAAAATAAATTCACAAATGTATGAAAGAAGGTTAAGCATTCACAAATGTATGAAATAAGATAACAAATTCACAAATGTATGAAAAAAGATTGCGAATTCACAGATGTATTAAATAAGGTTAGGCATTCACAAATGTATGAAATAAGGTTACGAATTCACAAATGTATGAAAAAAGATTGCGAATTCACAAATGTATTAAATAAGGTTATGCATTCACAAATGTATGAAATAAGGTTACGAATTAACAAATGTATGCCAAGGTTACGAATTCACAAATGTATGACATAAGGTTATAAATTCAAAATGTATGATAAGGTTAAAAATTCACAAATGTATGTTAATAAAATAACAAATTAAAATATGTATGAAAAAGGATTGCGAATTCACAAATGTGTGAAATAAAATAAATTCACAAATGTATGAAATAAGGTTAAGCATTCACAAATGTATGAAATAATATAACACATTCACTAATGTAAGAAAAAAAATTGCGAATTCACAAATGTAGTAAATAAGGTTATGTATTCATAAATGCATGAAATATGGTTAGGAATTCACAAATGTATGAACTAAGGTTACGAATTTATAAATGTATGAAATAAGGTTACGAATTCACAAATGTATGAAATAAAATAAATTCACAAATGTATGAAATAAGGTTAAGCATTCACAAATGTATGAAATAAGTCTCCGAATTCACAAATGTATGGAATAAGATAACAAATTCACAAATGTATGACAAGGTTACGAATTCACAAATGTACGAAATAAGGTTCGAAATTCAAAATGTATGAAATAAGATAACAAATTAACAAATGTAAGACAAGGTTACGATTTCACAACTGTATGAAATAAGGTTAGAAATTCAAATTGCATGAAAAGGTTACGAATTCACAAATGTATATTAATAAAATTAAAATTAAAATATATATGAAAAAAAATTGCGAATTCACAAATATGTGAAATAAAATAAATTCACAAATGTATGAAATAAGGTTAAGCATTCACAAATGTATGAAATAAGATAACAAATTCACAAATGTATGAAAAAAGATTGCGAATTCACAGATGTATTAAATAAGGTTAGGCATTCACAAATGTATGAAATAAGGTTACGAATTCACAAATGTATGAAATAAGGTTACGAATTCACAAATGTATGAAATAAGGTTATGCATTCACAAATGCATGAAATAAGGTTACGAATTCACAAATGTATAAAACAAGGTAACAAATTATTCGGCCAAGACTGAAACTACTATGCAGAACCTAACATAATTTTTAAAATTACACGTTATAAAAGATGGAATTAGTTATTTCGTTTGAGAGTTAAACAGAAAAAGACATACCACATTGTCAATTTACGAAGACAATGAAATTTCGAATTAAAATCAATATACAAAAATGACAGGAATTATGGAGACCACAAAACTTCATGGGCGTAACAAAAGTAGTCCGAATTGGAAAGCCTTTCCAGAACTATATGTGGCCGTCATGGTTGCTATATATAAATTATATCAATCCGCCTGAAGAAGCCATAGAAAGCAGAAAGGCCTAGCAGAAGATCTGACAGATTTATGTTTTTATTCTAAATTATATATATATATATATTCTTCCCATTCGAAAATGCATCGACTTTAAAAGTAACAAGACTGTTTTCTGTCGGCAATCCTCCTATTCACGGTTTACATTAAATTATTTAAAATTAAGTGATAAATGTGGGTTTTACTTAGGTTATTATTTTGAAACCCAACCGCATTACTCACTTTTTATTTGTATCTGTCGACATCCTTGTCTGCCATTTCACTACCGTTTGGACAACATATTTTGTTTTTGCAATTGTATAATGACCATATGTTTTTTCGTTGATTTGATGGACTATTGTGATATTCTAATTTATTTGACGCCAAATAGAACCAACGTACGGCAGGATATCTAAGCCTGTTTTTTTTTTGGGGGGGGGGGGGGGGGGGGGAATCATCGAAACACTGAACCATATTTCGACAAGTAATACGAACAAAAGTGTGAACAAAACTATAAATGGAAGTAAAATCGATAAAACCAATGCAAAATGATAAACAAAAGAGAAAAAATACATTTAGGCCTTTAAAAAGGTGTAAGAAGAGTCCGACCATGTATTCCGTAAGGAACCATATAAGTGGATGTAAAATCGATAAAATCAATGCAAAATAATACACAAAAAGAGGAAAATTACATTCAGGCCTTCATTAACCTTCCTATTTGGAAACCCTGTCTTCTTATTCGTCGATGAGACCTCCTGTGTAAGTCAATGTCAAATCCTTACAATGTCTCGTCTTCAAAGTGAGAACGGGGCAGCGACGTCAAAAACGTAAAAAGTCATGTCGCACAAGGAAAATAAAATAAATCTTAAATGAAATTGTAGTGACCAAAACTGTATGAAGTCTTCATTAATCCGCTTCTTTGGAAGTCCTGTTTTGTAGCTTGTCCGTCAGCATTCGACATCCATCTCAGAAATCGTGAAAGCGAGCTCATGGATGTTGAACAACTGCGACATATAACCGTAGATATTGAAAAAAAATACGTTTTCACAAGCAAAGAAAAGAAGCAGATAACACAATAATTTCAATCAAAACATTTAGCATACAGCTCAGAAGTTCAGTGGTTTAATAAATATTTACTATTTTGTATATACAAGTACATGGTTTCGAGATTCTCGCAATCAAATGACCGGAAGCAAATTTTCAATAATTGGGTGGGTTTTTTTTGTTTTTTTTAAATGTAAGTTTTGTAAAACATTCTTAATTTTTCTATGTTGTAATAATATTCATTTTTTTCACAGTTGATCCGCTATTCTAATGCCTGGTGTATTTATCACAATTTTCTAGATCTAGATAGATGAGTCATGTTGACCTTAAACCCACTAACTACAATTATCTTCTATGCACAAGCCTCAATCTATGTTGGAGAAGGTTTTAGGTAATCATCATAATTTGGTTTCAACCTTTGGTCTCGATGCCTTCCATCATGAAAGTCTTCTTCGCAAATCTCAACACATTCCAGGATTTGTCAAATCGTGTTTACTCGTTGACTGTAGCCACCATATACATAATATTAACTTACACCAATAATCACAAACGTAGTTAACAAAGAAATGAAGACAATTTACAACGGAATAACTACATTTACATACAATCTAGCTGAAGGCGGTATCCATGATAGGGTATCGTTAGGCAACACAAACATCACAGGGGTTGCTGAGTTGGTGATAACCTCACCAGTAATCAGTGCAATGGTACAAGTTTACACAAAATCAATTGTACGATTTTTTCAGTATTAAAGTGTATACAGCAAAACGTTGAAACAATTTATACCATATATTGATTTTTGTGTGTGCATGTATGCTAGTATAACGGGAAAATATTTTCCGAAACCTTTATAACATTTTTACTAACAGACTAACCACATAAACACTTTCACTCTTTTCATTTTACGTGAATTGTTCATCCATTTTGCTAGTATATGGCGTGTCGATAGACATTTGCGATCAGAAAACATTGTTAACAGCTAGAGCTGACGGCGGAATACATAGGTGTCACTTGTTCTAGTGCTAACCAGGTCTGCCCAAAAGGACTTAACAAATTGTTATTTACAAATTGGTTTTATCGTCTTGGTAGAAAACATTGGAGAAATCACGTTGGTTTGTACTTATTGTTTTCGTTCATGCATTATGTTGTCGGTTTCATGAAGTACTCGTCTTATTGATTATATAACAGTTAATGTGTCAATTTTAATGAAGTTGTTTATGTTACTCTTCAAACACACGTGAAAATCGAAGGCTGACTGTAATTGCGTACTTATCCTAACTGCTTCATCACTGCCTCTAGCATTTCATTTTTATTGGTAATTTTTACATTGCGTAATGACTCTGCGGTATAATTTTGTTCGTATTTGTTGACAATATTTTACGTTTTGTTGATGTATGTTTATACTCCGATATATTTTGTCCTAGTATGTTTTTAAGCTGTGGTATTGTGTTTCTTTTTTACATTCCAAAGAATAAGTATGAACCAGCAAATTTCTTACAATTTAGTGGAAATCACTCAGTATATGTAAGGTCCACACCGCCTTGTCGGTAGCTCAAGGAAACCAAACACTCGGGAAGGGGAAAGATTTCCCAAAACACATGTCACACGCGTACTGTTTCAAAGTTGACACTTCAAAGTTAGTATCAGTTTCTGTTTTTATATATTATTTTTTTGTAATGTATTAAGATGCAGTTATTTAGCAATTTTCAACAAAACTTTTGTCGATAAAGTGGTGCAATTAGTTTCGTTTTGTAAACTATCTGCATTTTGCATCTTAGCCGGAGATAGTAAAGCAAAGTTAGTCATCTTAGTCTGTTTTTGTCTTTTTTTAAAACAAATTATTGATTTCCAATAACATTTACATGCTGCAACTGACAATGAGTGTTACGCTTTGTGATTAATTTATTAAGATCATGATTATGGATCCAGGTAACTGATGCATTTCTCTGTGCAAATACTATATCGCAGGTTTAAGTCAACAGATATGACACGCAGGGTTAACAACAGCAAGGTTATCTTTTCAAAAAAATAAATAATTAAGGAATTAGAAAAATTATATAAGAATGATTTTAATCCGTTTATGTTCTTTTTATGTAAGAGTGATCAACTCTTATTCTTTAGTACAAATTAGCTCAAATCAATTTTAGAAGCAAAAATCTATTAAATCCGAAGGAGATGTAATTAGATAATAAAATAATCAAAGCTAACCAGGCTAAATGAACGTTGCAGTATCGGCTAATCGAAGCCGGCAACAGCTGGGATGTCAATTTCCTTTGCCGCAATCGATAACCATGTGACAAAATATAAATGTAATTAGTGAATTGTTTCAATATACCTGTCTGGCATTGCAGCGTGTAATCAATAATTGCATCTCTTTTTTCCTGCAATTTCGTTATGTTGTTTACAATTGTACAGTTTCCTGATGAAAGTTAAGTACAGATTGTATATGTTAAGGCCAATGCATTATACTACTGAAAAATGAATCTTTTCGCTTTTTAACTACCCAAATTTATCACAGTTGGGAAATGTTTGCGTTTTAAAGGTTGGTACATATTTTACACATATATATACATATATAAACATAAAAGCGAAATTAAGGAACACTGCCACGGGGGAAAACCCACTTTCAAAGAATGCACGTTTAGTATATTAATATGCATATCTGCTTCTATTGTATGTGTCTTATATGGCTAAACATTATACCATTCAAGGTGGTTGTATTAATTCATTCATTCACTAAATATCAGCATTTTGAAATGTATATTAAAAATAGCAATTTGCACATATAGTACAGGAAACGATTACCATTCCTTATCGCATATTTTTGCATGAATTGCCCTCATTACAATGTTTATATTTTCTTGAATTTTACCCGCGGTGTGTCAAGGCCAGTATCAGAATAATGAGAACGGAAGGGGTATTCTCCCATCAAGATTATGACATTTCGAGGAGATGACACTCGGAAGTGGCTCTAGAGAAGCCATTATAAGTGGTTACCGTCGTCACATGACCTTTACCTGTTACAATGAGATAGGATCGAGACATGTGGACATGCTGATAGAAGTTGGTACATAGACTACCATTGTTACGTGAGTATTCCTATATTTCTAAAATTTGTCTTTACTAATCGATATTATAAGTTGCTGACAAATTAAATGTATTGACTTTTGTATGAATTTGAATGCTTTGTATTTTTGTTCAGAGTTTAATTAGGAAGACAACACCGGAAAGAAACAGTCAGAAGGAGAGAAGAGACAAGTTAAAGAAAAGGATTTGAATGTGCATGTGTCTTAAACCGTGGACAAACATAGTACATGTATATTGTGGGATAGTTTTGTATTTGTAATTTTTGTTAAGCGATATTTCTGTGTTTTGGGACGTTAGAACACATTTTGTTTTCCTGCATGGTCCAATGTGAGCCTGTTTCTGAGGTTGCTGAATCGGATTCGCTCTCTGTGATCTCGGCTTTGGGTTGATATCGATGGAAGATTAGTCCCAAACTGCATATCATGAGAACCTTACGTCCCCTCTCCACCCATTTTCTACTACTTACATGTTTATAATTTCCTTGTCTATGTTAGCACACTTTGTTTATCTTTTATGTGTCTCTAAATGATGATATGATATTAGAGCGTTAAGATTTAGCGATTATACTATATGATAACTTATCTTTTATATCTAGGTTGATTTCAGTATTTTAAATTGAAAGTGGCAATATGTTTATGTTTAAAATTTTATGTATTTGACTATCATAATGTATCATCCGTACTATAATCAGTTGATAAACAGTGCTATAAACGATACATTTGGGTAAAGCGGGATTATCTGTTGAACCGTATATTAGATATAAATAGAAACAGTGAATTAAATATAAATGTACAGTTTAAAAACAAACTGATGCATAGGACAAATGTCGTTGTTGTCTAGCAAACTTAATTATTACTGTGAACTTTACTGGGGCCAGGCTTTAGGTGACTTTTCGTGAGTGTCCAGATATAGTCTGTTTTTATCTTACCTGGATTAAATCACTGGGGATACGGCTATGTTAGACACAAATGCATATACACGTAAATAATGCTTAGCTTGCGTGGGAGAGAATTCCAAGGTAAAAGTACACAGATCTTTACCATAACGATATAGGATGAATTATAGCTTCTCTTTCATGTAAATATATTAAACAGCGATCAATTTGGAGAAATGTAGGCGTATATAAATAGTTCATGGTATGCTAGCGTTTGTATATAAACCATGGCAGGATCTGTTCGGCATTTAAAAATGTATATAAAAACTGAATTCAATTACTTTACTATAATATTTCATTGTGGTGATATTTCCTGATTCAATTACATTTTATATAATTGACATGACCGTAATAGTTTTACGATATATAGATTTAGTTCTTAAAGGTATAGAAAATAATCCCTGTAACTGTATACGACGTGTACTTGACGATCCTATATAAACAAATGGATTTCGATTGTTTACAGATTCATAAAGGTTCAGCCAATAATCCCATACACTTCACAGAAATACATAGCCGGTGGGTATTAACTGTCGAAGGTCTCAAGTGAGCAAACGTCACCATATCCAACCATCTGGTGAAGCGGTTACATCGATCGAGGACCTCACGCCAGTGCTTGTAGCGTGTACAGTCTGGTTGATGAAGCTGGATGTATTCGTTGAAGCGCGGGACTTTTCTAGCGAGAGCGGGAGAGCATAAGACCGTCAAATAGGGAAGTACACGCCCATTAATTGAATGTTGAAACAGGTAGCGGGGATCAATTTATCGTCAATTAAGACCATTTATCGGGTTTGTATTCCTATGTCGTTGACTGTTCATCAAATTGTTGAGTTTGTCAGAAATTGATTCTTGGGAGCAGTCGTCTGTCTATTTCAAGAACTCTTGGAATTAATCGACTTCCTAACACCAGGATCTTGCAGACGGTCTACAAGGACTTGGCAACACATACTGAAGGTATGTAGAGGAGTTATATATTCATCGAAATATCAAGTTCAGTGATGACACTACTTAGAAGTAATAGCTTGTTGTTGACGGTACTGTGTAAGATAACCAGACTAGTGTATAGTGAAATGCACTGATAGAAATGTTAATGCTATCAATCGATGTTGAACATATATGAAATATATGAATATGTTACCGGATTACACACAGGTGCTATTGTACTTATTTGATAAAAATGTCATACTGGAGAAATAATTAGGATGTTAAATTCCTGGTACAAGTTTTTGCTACGTTTCACTGGTATAAACAAGTGGAAATTTATATGTGAACTTCATGATCTAGAAGTAGGTAGTTGTCCTTACGTTTACATATGTCACAAATGAAGACTATGTTTAATATTGAATGAAAAGTATCTGTCATGTCGTTATAAATCAAAGTGACAAATGATACACTTTTACTACTAACACGTGTATAAATGGTCTTCACGTAAGGATCTCCGTGTCATTGCCCAAAGCTGTACCTTTTGCATTTCAGTCATGTCTATAGCTTTGATAAATCATTTCTGAAAAGAAAAATCTTACCTTGCGGGACCTTACTTTATGGAAAAATAACGACGATTGAAATCGACAAATGTGATCAACAAAAGTGTTCTTAATATGAAAATTGAGCGAGGCTAGACCGGGATTCCAATCCTTGACTTCGGATTATTTACTAGCACTCTAACTGGCTGGGCAACGTGTTCAATGGAAGGGGCCTGACACAACTGTACTACAGTTATTACCATAACGATATTAAGGGAAGGTTACTGTTTACGGGGATCCTTACAGATTTACATCGGACATGATTATAACGAGTTAATACTTAACCAAGTGTAACGATCTGCATATAGTGAACTACATTTGCTAGTTTTAAGGGGGTTCGTGCCAAAATTGTTTTCACGAGGCTCTGAAGGAGACAAGTTTTTCAGAGATGCAGGCTGATGAAGAGTATGGGCATGTTTTAAGGTCACCCTTATGATAAAATTGCAAAATATGCTAATCTTTTTTAAATATGAAGGTCGATGATTGTTATTATGCTCATTATAATAATGCTTTGTTGTTTCATTGTCATTACCCCGGTTCTCACTACGAGGACGGAACATTAACTCGGATATTTACTAGATTTACGTGGCTGTGTCTTCAAAGAAGCAGCTCACCCTCCAAGTTAACCTGGCCTTATTCTCATTGCACTTTCAAGGATTTCAAGAAACAAAATGCATTTGTTCATAATTTGCCATAGTTTTTCTGTTCTCAAATTCAGGTTTTGTTCACGCTCCAGTATTCTCTTGTTGTTTTTGTTGTTGTTGTGATTTAAGTACGGCCGAGCATTGTTAAATCCTGTTTTCCCACCATCCAATCAGTGTTTTAGAGAACAGATTTGCCACAAGCCGTCTCACAATTCATGCACCTTTGCTGGCAATTAAGGTGACCGGGTATCGAAGCTACCATGTAATGTATAATGATATATGGAATATTTAAATACCTCGTAATCCTGCCTATGTCTACCATATATCAGTTAATAACAAGAGGATGATATATCATTTTGATGTTAAACATGTGGGTTTTAAGATATAGGTGATCCTGTCTTCAAATACTGACTATACGATGGACTGCATGCATCTGTAACGAATTCTTCGATTTTTCTTGTTTTTGTTGTGGTCTAAACATTGATTTTCAAAATTTAAGTAATACGTTTTTAGTAATGGTATTGTAAAGACAGTAAAAACTGTCATATCAAACCCTGTTCGATTTAACGACTGCTTCGCTGTTTTACAGATGTGGCTATTGACCGAAACTACATGCACATGCGATCATTGACTTCTTTGACGTATACAACGACCCCAACCCCAATCACCATGAAAGATCACCTGACCAGTAACCCTATCTACGCCCTCGGGATTGTCGCTTCTCTTTTAGTTAGCGTTCAAAGAGCTATCCTTACAGTAATGACCTAAATCTACAGCTCTCTCCTGTGTTTCACTTACGATAGTGGTGATGCTGTATTTGGACAGCACCATACTTGTGTACTGGAAAGGTTGTATTTTTTTCGTTGGTTTGTTATTTTGATGATTTACACAAAAACAGGCAATTCACAGGATCATGTTTTTCCCGGTTTTATGTGTGTGAATATAATGACGAGCCCCTAAACTAAAAAAATGCTATTAATAACTTCCACTGGATTTTGATATTGAAATATATCGACAGATAGCTAGAATATAAAAACACGAAAACAGATGTTTTGCTGTATACGAAACTACACATGTCGTATAAAGACTGAACGCTGAATACCTCCATGATTGTATAAAGATTGGGTATTCCTTTTTACCCCGTTGATGTTATGCTTTATCTGGGAAGTTATATGTTTTTATATCGAAGGACTCAACAGAATAATAGTAAACATAAATGTAGATACTGTGAAGACGGACATTTTCGCGAGTGGAAATGTTCGCGTTATCACCCTTTAAACTGATCGCGGTATGTACATGTTCATTTTGGCAATGGTTCCGATATCTATAAATATCTAAAATCTGGTTAATGTCTAAATGTATAGTGCGTCGAATTCTCCATCGCAATGTTTCTGATTTTACAGTATCTGAGAGTGATTTGGCCATTAATACAGTGCATTGAAACCTGTCTTTACCGATGTTTGGGACAAAATCGTATTTAGTTTGATAAGACAGTTTGTCGGTTAGGCAGAATTAAATAGTCTTTCTTGACCATATATATATAATATACCACTGTCACGTGTCAAACACGTCAGGTTTAAATGTATTATCTATAAATTCTCCTTTCACAGGACTAGTGTTTTTGTACAGAATACTGATATTATAACTGAAGAGATATTGGAGAGATCGCGAAATTAAAACTGTATACCACATTTCACTGGACGTATAACTGTTTAAAAGAACAACATAGTGACATGCTTCTGGACAACAGTAGCCTGGTATCTACCGCGAATGTTACAAGATAAAAAAAACACGAGATCTTGAGATTGTGTAATGGTTTTAGCTTGATGTGTTACACGACCGACCTGTAGGGTCGCCGCTCCCCGAGTCTTCCTCGTAGTATAACACTGATACTTGTCACACGTTCATTGATCCTTGTAAACAAATAGCCGCTGGTGTATTATGAACACTTGTTTCCTCGCCTAGGAAGATTTACAACCGGCACGACAACCAAGCAGGATTTTATATTGTTACAACACGCACTCGTAGTCTGACAAATTACAGCAACCGTGTTTTTCTCAACGAGACACATCCCTCTCGGATGTCCTTAGATACTCTTTCTGTAGCCAACACTGTGGGTTTTGCACTGAAGCTTAAGACCGTTTTATGTTCAGCACTATTCGATGTCTCCCAATTTGTCACTCTCGGGTATCTTAACCACTACTGTACTGCTACATTACGGCACTTGTTGTCCTTGTTCCACATTTCAAAAAAATATAGAAATAAATATAAACAAATATATCTGAAATGCTTGCATGACAGACAGATAGACATACAGACAGGAAGACAGACAGATGTGCTTTGTTAACCATTTGACTATTTTTGATAGCTGTGATTTCTTGACCATAAAACTATTTAATGGATAGCTGTGATTTCTTGACAATAAAACTATTTAATGGATAGCCATGTTTGTTTTACATTTAACTAGTTCATGATCAGCTGTGGTTTGTTGACTTAACCTATTTTGGACAGCTGTGGTTTGTTGACCAATTAACTATTTTTGAATAGTTGTGCCCTATTGATCATGCAACTAACTTGAAAAGTTTTTTTCACAATAAACTACATAGCCAGGGCTTCAATCTACACTGGTTGTCGTCGGGATTAGTTTTCCAAAAGTGAGATTTCAGTATCTGTCATGGTAACCTACACTTGATCACTGTGTCTGAGATCATTGGTGGCACCTATATATATTTCCTAGATTTAATTGGCAGAGGCATCATGACGTACAATACATGTGGTGCAGGAAACGCTTTCCCTCCGGAGCACCTGGCACCCCTTCACGTTCTTAATGTCTTTTCCGTTGTCTTAAAGTCTCTTTGTGGTTCTGGTTGTTATCATTTCGTATCGTGTTGGAGTTTGTTTTGTTAACTGACAATATTAAACTCACCCTATTGGTCTATTTTGCCGATACAACAATCTAACTATCAGTATACTTCTATCAGGTACATCGTGTTTCAATTTTTATAGTCTCACCTAGCAGCAATTTTGAATTTATCTTACAAGTGGCAAATTAGTGGGAATGCTCACGGATATATTTGCTCAAAAATATCTACATACGAAAATGTATATAGATTTAATAGATTCAAAACCATTGTAAACGCAAAACATTTCACAATGCGATCCGTTTAAAGGGTCCGTTCGCGAACATTTCCACACACATAAACTTCCACTTTAACAGTAACCTTGTTATTATATGATATATAACACCTGTAAAACCCAGTTTGTTGAAGACATTTTCCAAAGAACAATACAGAACAATATTTTTGAAGATATATATGAATATGAATTGTATAAATTAAGTTAATAGTACATTACATTATCAACTGTTCATTTAGAAGTATCAAGGTTAAAAATTGTTTTAAAGGTATTGTTTTCAATGACATTTAAAAAAACAGCTAACGATCTACATATCCGGCTTGAGATTGCAGACTGTTCCTTAATTCTGTTGACGATAATTAGTTCAGTCCGTTTCCGCACTGAATGTGCGTGTTTTAGGAATAGTCAATATGGCTCCAGACATTGACCTGAAGGGTCTTGTTGGAACGCACTGTGGCACAAGTTCCTTGCTAATTTCCACAGAAGGCCTTTGTTGACGTGTTCAAGACGTTTGTACTGGTAAATAGTGACCTCGGGATGGGTGTTATGTTGTCTTTTGTCCGTGTTCACATACCAAGACATAGACATATAACTAAGTCTCCCAGGAAAAGCTTATGCTGAGTATCGACAATTATAATTCAGATGCACATTC